GAGAGGGGAATAGGCAAGGCTGATTCTGGAACAATCAGGTGAGGCTACATAAAGATGGGAGCAGCTTTTGCACCTGGTCCTGAGGGGCAGGTGGGATATTCACAGACAAGTAATAGGGAAACATGATTCCCGGACACAGGAACAGCAAGAGTTCCAAATACTGGATGGAACAAAATGATACTAAGAGGAAGCAATCTGCCAAATCCAGGATGCAGGTCACTCTGCAGGACAATTTATGCTGTTTCTTGAGGAAGCCAATGGCCTGGAAAGAGGTGCTGGTGGAAGGAGAATTAACTGGGGCCGAACAACTTGCTGCATGCCATCACCGCAGAATGCTCTGCCCTCCTTCTCTCCCTCCCGCCCCTCATCCCTTCATTCAAGTGTTTGACAAATACTCAGCACTCACTCTGTGACAGGCGCTGCGTTAGTCGATCAACACTGTGGATTTCTTTTTTAATTAAAGGATTTTATTTATTTTTAGAGAGAGGGAAAAGGGGGCAGAAAGAGAGGGGGAGAAACATTGATTGGTTGCCTCTCACAAGCCCCCAACCAGGGACCTGGCCTACAACCTGGGCGTATGCTTTGAACGGGAACTGAACCAGCGACCTTTCGGGCCACAGGCCAGTGCTCAGTTCACTGAGCCACACCAGCCAGAGCAACTCTGTGGATCTTAACCTTATAATGTCTCTCCAGTTGGTCCTTCTATTTCTGTGTCTCTCCCCCTATTCCCTGCCTTGTCTCCATGGTCATCTCATTCTCTCCAATTTCATACTTTTTTCACAATCTGTAAAACTAATGTAAAACTTGACCTGGAATCAATAACCCCCAGAGAGCCGACAGAGGCCACCCGGTCACCGCCCTGTGTAGGAAGCCTGCTTGGTTGAGGGCATGCACAGGGCTTTACAGAAAAGGGCTCCCGGGAAGACAGCCCACAGACAACAATGACGAGATAGTGGGGAAGGCTCTAAGGAGACATGGCACTTTTTATTGGCTGTTGTTCTCATAGCTTATCATATAAAAAGGGGGCAGAGAGATACTAAACCAAAACTCACACAGATCATTATTTAACCTTACTGTGGAAGCCCTCCCCTGTGAAGGACAATGCTTGCGCCACGAGAGAGCTTGTAAGAGGGAAATCTAACATAGTCTGGAGTCCAAGAAGGGAGGCTTCCCTGACGAGTAACCTGAGAACCAAGTAGGAGCTCAAGGAGGGCTCACTGTGGGGAGGGTTGTTGGGTGGGCTGGAAAGAACATTTCAGGCCGATGTGACATGGGCAGAGGCCTGGAGACGGGGTACGTGGAGCTTTAGAGAAACAGAAAAGACCGTAGTCTCGGGATGGACTGTAGTGGGGAGCTGCACGGCCATCTTTGTGTTTCAGGAACCACCCCCTGGCTGGAGTGCGGGAATCACAGAAGCATGTAAAGCGAGGTGAAGAAGCCAGTTCTCACGCTGTGAGCACAGAAGGGCGGGAGGGGGGTGTCAAGGTGAGCGCCGGTCGCTGTGGCAGTGTGGGTAGAGAAGAGGGGATAGATTTGACAGCTGTTTAGGGGCAGGATTAGGTGTGTTTAATGACCAATGAGATAGATGTGGGAAGTGAGGAGAAGGGAGTCAAAAAAACGACCCCTGGGTTTCTGGATGGAACAACAGGGAGATAGTGAAATGGAACCCAGCGGATCAGATTTGCCGGGCAGAGAGGGGTAGGGGGAGCCAACGAATTTCATTTTGGACACAATGAGCTTGATGTGCCTATGCAGATCTCCCCTGGGCAGCTGGGTATGCATGTAAAGTGCCAGAAAGATTTCAAAGCTGGAGTTACAGAGAAAGGAAACATCAACTTGTAGGTAGAGGTGGAAGCTTTGACAATTGACAGTTCACACAGGGATGGTGAACTGAGTAAAAAGACAAGAAGTTCCAGGACCAAGCCATGGGGAACACAGGTATTTAAGGAGTGATCATAGAAAGAGGAGGTAGACAAGGAGCTGGAGGAAGGATGACCAGAGAGGTAGAAAAAAATAATGTGCTGGATAGTCTCTCTTTGCCCTTCCAAGTCTGCTTTCTACCCTTTGTCACCCAGCTCTGGAAGGCTGGCCTGAAAGGTTGACTTCAGGGGACTTCCCCTCTGGCTTCCGGGGGTCGGCCAGTGGGGGGCACTGTAAAAATATCACAGAGGAAGAAGAGAGAGACTGGGTGATTATCCTCTGGGCTTCCTCCTGCTGGGCTGTGGCTCTTTCCCCGCTATGCTCCTCTAGTAAAGACCACAGTTCCTGCTGAGCACCCACGGCTGCAATTTCTTTTGTCTCTTTAAGCCTAAGGATGGGAAAGGCGGTCCCTTTTGCTCTGGCTAGTTTCCTTTAATCCTGCCCAGATCTTTCCAAATGGTTCCTTCATTGAACTCTCTCTAGTCATCCCTGTTCCTTGTTGTCTGTGTCCTGCTGGGATCCTCACCTTTACTGTCATATAACAAAACCACAGAAACAGGCTGTCAAGTAGGAGTGATCTACAGTGTCAAACGCTGCATAAGCCTGAAGCCCATGGTATGTGGCAAGTAGAGCTCGTTGGTGATGTCCACTGGCACAGGCTAAAGGAACAGTGAGAAGCCTGGCTGCAAGGTCCCAGAGAGGCAATGGAGAGTCACTGACCATCCCTGCAAGGCGCTTAGCTCTGGAAGAGAGAAGACGGTGGTATTCTGAGGAAACTACAGGGTGGTGTTTTCTTTCATTTTAATGTTGAAGAGACTTGAGCCCGCTTTTAGCCTGTGGGAAGGAGCCATTAGCTAGGGAAGGATTGGAAGTGCAGGAATGGGAAATATGAGTGGATCCATGCCCAGGACTGCAGCAAGAGTGGGTGGGAGGAATGAACCTTGGCCACAGAACTCTGGCTCCTTAGGCAGGAGGAAAGGAGTGATGCTGCTACCAGGTAGGGGAGCGAGGGAGTTTCTTCCTGATCGCCTCGATGTTCTCAGTGAAAGCTCAAGGACAGGGAGTTTTCAAAATAGTGATTTTGAATGGGGTGGGGGATTGATCGGGGACCAGCGAAGGCCTCAAAATTTTGCTGAAATAAATGAATACATGATTGACATAAATGAATGGAAACCAGAATATAGGATGTGTGGTGAAGTGATGTTATGAGATAAAGGTGGGAAGGAAAGCAGTGTCTCTGTTTGGTCTTCATACAGAAAATGGGGAACTATCAATGGTTTTTGAGTAGTGGAAAGATGAATAGGATATAAAATTACTTGGGCAAGGCCAAGGAGAAGTACTGAAGGTCACAAAGAGGCCTTAAAATAATCTAGGTGCTGGATAAGGAATGTGCCTTATTTCGGGTGATGAGTAGAGTCACTGAGGAGCTAGCCCCTCTAAGGCTAGTGATGTCAGCAGTGGGATTTGGGGGTCCTTAGGGCCCTTTCCCAAAACTCAATTTTCTTCCATCTTAATCTACCCTAAATATACACCCTAAGTAAAAAACAAGCTGCTTTTGATGCAGACACTGGTCTGACATAAATTGGCTGGCCCCCGTCCTGACTGCCCTACTAAATGTCTCCTTGTATCAACACGCAGGAACTTCCACTCATGGAGCTTAGAGGCTACTCAGATATAGGACGGACAAGGAGAGTCAGAGATAAGTCAAATTTTAACTAGCCTCCCTGTGTGGATGTCATGATATCATCGACCAAGGAAAACAATAAAGAAAATCATGATCATGAAGGAAAATGAATATTTTAGGTTCCCAAGAGAATCTATTGAATTTGGGCAACTGGGGTTGAGAATGTATCGAGGACGTGGGAGGGACATTGGGCCTCGTTGTGCAGATCTGGGTGTCATCTGTACAGAGCTGGCCATGAAGCAGTGGGCTCCAAGGAGAGGGCAGAGGGCAGGTAAAGAAAGGCTGGGAACAGAGCCTTGAGGAGTGCTCTGTAAGAGGACAAGAGAAGAGGCGTGTCAGGAAAGACAAGGAGAACGTGTCAGAGAAGCTCGGGGATAAAGAGAAGAACACAGCCCATGAGAGCCCTGACTGGCAAGGCAGGCTGGGGAGGGACATGCAAGGGTAATAGTGGAGTCCCTGTTCTTTTACACAAAAACATCACTTCTCTTCTTGAAAACTAATATTTTAATATTTTTAAAAAAGATTTTATTTATTTAATTTTAGAGAGAGGGAAAGGTAGGGAGAAAGAGAGAGAGAAACATCAATGTGTGAGAGAAACATCGATTGGTTGTTGCTTCTTCTATACCAGGAACCAGGCCCACAACCCAAGCATGTGCCCTGACCAGGAATTGAACTGGTTACCTATTGGTTTGTGGGACGATGCCCAACCAACTGAGCCACACCAGCCAGGGTGAAAACTGATTTTTATTTTATACATTGTTCTATAACATGATCCAGCTTTTAACACAACTTATTAAAAACATTTAGAAATTCTCTGAATCCCTCGTTCTGTAGCTTCACGATCGACCTTCCAAAGCTGTGTTCTCTGCAGAATTTGTTAAAATCTGTTCAGCCATTTTATCTAAGTGCTTCGATCTGTACCAAAAATGTTCCTTGCATTACCTTTCATTTTCACGTTGAATATCCTTGTCTTCATCATAGCAGAGCTGGTCCTCACCTAGACAGTCAGCTCCTTTGAGGTTGCTCTGGGTCTGCATTTGAGTTTAGAAGTTAAAATTATCTTTTTTTATTTTAAAAAGATTTTATTTTTAGAGAGACAGGAAGGGATGGAGAAAGAGAGAAACATCAGTGTGTGGTTGCCTTTCTCACACCAGCTGAAGACCTGGCCCGCAACCCAGGCATGTGCCCTGACTGGGAGTCGAACCAGTGACCCTTTGGCACTCAAGCCACTGAGCCTCACCAGCCAGGGAAGAATTGTTATTTTTTTTAAATTGCAGCAGATCCTCCTCTGAATATTTATCCCAATCTTCATCATTGAAAGGCTCCTGTGTTCTTAGTGAACTGGTTTTATTTGGAAGCTCTTGTAATGCACCTGGGTCTTGGAACCCTCTTCTAATTATTCCCCTCCTCCTCTTTCATACTGAAGATCTGGTTCATCACCACAGAATGGTAACAGCTGTGTTTGGCTTATAACCTCTCTGAAACCATGGTCCTCATTTGTATCAGTGTCCAGTGGGTTGGAATGTGCATTGCCCTCTTCAGAATCTTGTGAGGGTCTTAAGTTTTCCCCTGAAGGGATGTGCAAGGGAATATTGTTTGGATCTGTGTCTGTTTCCTGAATGAAAGGTTCATATGTACAATTGTCCAAGTCTCTTTCACGACAAGCAGTCTTATCAGGATCCGAGGGAACTTCAGCAGAACATGGTGGTGTTTGTGGTAAAGTATCCACGCTGGGAAATTCTAGGTCTGTAAGGGAGTAGTGCCATTTTGTTGCCTCTGACTGAGGAGCTGAGGCATAATCATAGGTGAATGCGTCTGGGATCTTGTCCCTGGAAGGACTGTTGCCCAGTGATCTGGGCAAGGTCAATGGATTCTCAAGTGTATTGGTGTTGGAGGCGCTTCCCAGATGACTCTTGTACAAATCAGAGTCTGAACTAGAAATGAGAGGTTTTTCAAAAAGATCCTCCTGAGTCTCACATTTCTCCTGACTCTTCTGGAAGGCGATGTTGTCCTCAAGACTCTCACATGGTGTCACATTGTCCTTCCTCACCCCTGAGTCCTCATCCTCACTGGCCCTACAACTCTCCTCACCGTCTGCCTCTTCTTCAGTCCCACATCTTGCATCTCCTGAACTTGTTGAACTTAGAGTAAATAAAGACCCTCCATCAGAATCAGAATCGTAGTCTATGTCCAACTCGTGCTGTGTGTCCCAAGGAGCATGTTTCTGCACTGGTTCCTCGTTAGCAGGAGTGACATGTGGGTCATTGCCCCATCTTGGAGGAGAGACTGATGGGGATGGGTCCATATCTGCCAGGTCACTGAGCGTGGCCGAACAATAGTAGGTGAAATGTTCTTCCTCAGCCTTGGCTCCCTTGAGTGATTGCCCCCGAGTGCTCAGCAAATTAATGGAAGCGCTCGCTTGCATTTCGTTAGAAAACTTCAAAGGCAACTGTTCAGTGCGTGCCCTTTCCTCATTCTCTCCAGTTCTCTGTGCTTCCATGTGTGCTTGTGTTTTAGAGAGGGCACCTGTCATGTATCTCGTCAGTGGTGGGTCTAACTCATTCAAACCCTGGTGGATTGAGCCAGAGCCAGTTTGTAATCTGCCAGCTATCACAGGGACCCTCAGTGAATACTGACCAAGAGATTCTTCCTGGGCCTCACTTTCATAATTGATTTTTCTAAGAATATCATTCCTGCAGATGTGGTCCTGTTCTGCTGAAATTAGCGCATAGCTGTCAGCACTTGGTGGTCCGCGGGTGACGGAACAGGCTGTGCCGCCATTTGTAAGCCTATTTTCCTTTCTACGTCCAGCCCCAGTACCGTCCTTGCCGTGTTCCCTGCTCTGCCTGCTGCCAGGCTCCTTTCTGCTCATTCCCAGGCTCCTATCAGCAATGACAGCAGCCTGTGGGGTGGCCTCCGTCCCCGAGAAAGGGTCTTGGTTCTCACAGAGGTTTAGGCCATGGCAAACATGGTGCAGATCCACCCGTGGGCGCTGGATGTTTCCTGCAGCTTCCATCTCATTGTAGCCCTCATTGCAATACACAAGGTCTGAACTCGGTTTTTTCTTTCTGCATCTCCATTGCCACAGTCTGTCAACGTAAGGCCTTGTGAAAGCCCCCAGGCAGAAAGCCACAAGGAACGTGATGAACACCGATAAGCAGATGGCCAGCGTGAGGTCTGCGGAGGTGGCTCCCTTCCCGCCAGCTGTTTGCCCATCCTGGGTGCTCCTCACCCATCTTGGCAGCCGCCTCTGCTGCTCACGGGTGTCAGAGCTGGCATGGCCCTTGTTCTCCAGGATGGGGAAGTGCCTATACGTTCCTTCCCGGGGCCTCACCACTTTGTGCCTTCTGAGGCTTTTCAGGTGATTCAAATTAGTGTGAGGAAGCTGGATCTCCCTGGAAACGCTGCTTCTGGGAGGCTGCCGGGATGCTTCCTCACTCCCTGAAAGGGGGGGGGGGGTAAAACACATTGATATTAGAGTCCAGTGGTTTTAAAAGCTTCTGTGCGTCCCCCTCCTTATCTGGCTGTCTTTGAAGTGCATGTTACGTAACGAGAAGCAGCTTTAGTGGCTGATTGATAGTCTAGTGCCGGCAGCCTGTATACGGCCCTATGCACATTGACACGTGCCTGCCAGCCTTACATCTGATGCTCATCGGCCCAAGAGGGGTGTGTTTCTTAGGCTGCTTGACTGATGGCCCCCCATGGGAGGAGAGAAGCCAGGCTGGAGGAACAGCCTTATTGTCTCTCCTTCTTCCGTTCCCTAGCCCACCGCACATTTGTGAGAATGGAGACATCAGTCCCCTGCAAAATCTGCCTCAGCATTTCTTCACCCTTCCCCATGGCTGGTCACAGCGAAAACGCCCAGGGTTCCCTGCTGGCTCCTGGCGCTCTGCCCTTCACACTGAGAAGGCCAGCTGTGGCTTCTAGAGAGGAAAGAAAGCAGGGTGGGTGACAACCTGAAGACTTCCCTGCAGTCTTCGTGTGTTTCTTCTACACCTAACAAGTGTGGCCATGTTTCTATTCTAATGTCAGTCCTGAGTAGAACAGAGTCCAGGACTTTCTCCCCCACCTTCCAGTTAGGGGTTTGAGATTAAGCCAAGAGAACAGTGGAAAAAAGACTTTCCTGAATGTTCAACTCCAGTGACATATTCTAGCACTGAGAGAACAAACCAGAGAACATTGTACTTTTGAAATATGTGTGTTTTGTTTCTGTATAGGATTATATTTTTAGAGTGTTAGCGAATTTCTAAATGATCATGTTTCAAGTTTTAGAAGTTCTTTCTTTGATTATTTGTTAAGAATTGGTATTAAAAATACGACATTTTGGGGTCTTCAGGGCAACATTCTCTCTTTATCAATGTCTGCGTTTGACCAAATCCAGTGGTTTCTGAGATAGCTGAACGAGGGCCCTTTGAGCACATAACGAAAATCACTCATGAATGGAAGAAAACGGGTCAGTCCCCGTGGCCGGGCTGTGGTACAGCCCGAGGCTGACCAGGGCTGTGTGGCACCACCACCCTTGTGCTCACTGTCTCAAATAAGATCACATTTTTTTTTTTTTCCTTTCTTTTTTTTTCAGTTCAGTTCATCTGAGACCCTTTCAGAGAGAAGAGGTACCTATAGACTTGTTGCAAATTTCATCCCACTTCCTCCTCCAGGGTTTGGAAATGAAGTTTTGGAAGACCGCCACGCTAGCGTCACACTGCCATTGGTTATCCGCCAAGTCAGCGTCCAGACGGGGAAGCTCCAGCGCAATGATCATCATCGGCAGGATGGCGGTCAGAGCGTTGCTCCTGAGGTCTACAACCTGCTCAAGGAGAAACAGATCGAGGACAGTTGGTGAATAAGAAGATGTAGAGACAATAGGCAAGTTACAGATATTGTTTATATCTTTATGGCGGCAATAAAAAGTTATCACTGAATGGAGGGTCAGAGGCTCCTGGGATTAAATCTCTGCTTTGTCTCTACCAACTCTGTGAGCTTCAGCAGGCTGTTTACTCTCCACGAGCCTACCTGCCAAGGCTGCTGTTTGGATTAAACATATGTGAAAGCTTTAAGTATGGTGCCTATATCAGATGCCCAATCATTTCCCCTTCCTTCCTTCCTATGAATTGTACTGTTAGATAAAACCTAGACTCCCCATTGTTATCAAAGTCTAGAATTAGATACCAGGTCTAAAATGTCTAGAATCCTGGTGATCTTGAAAGTGGCAGAAGAGCCTGGCCGGATGGCTTGATTGGTTGGAGGGTCGTCCTGTGCACCAGAAGGTTTTGGGTTCCCTTCCTGGTCAGGGCATAGGCCTGGGTCCTTGGTGGGGCACATATATGAAGCAATGGACTGATGTCTCTCTCTCACATCTGTGTTTCTCTCTCTCATTCTCTCTCACTAAAATCAATAAATGTATCCTTGGGTGAGGATTAAAAAAAAAAGAAGAAGAAAGTGGCAGAAGATACTGAATGATGAGAACACATGACACAGAACTGTGGCTGACCGGAAGTAGCAAGGAGAGCGCTTTTGCATCCAGGGTAGTAGTACATTTCTCTGCACCCACGCTACTCAGTACATGTAAGAGGACTAATTTTTCAGCCTAATCAAAAATGAAGGGGAACCCAGGGAACGAAAAGGATTCGGTTGCACTGGGAACACAGAGAAGGTCCCGCTGAAGGTGGAAATGGTGGTGGTGTGATGCAGCGGGGAGCATTGCTGGGTGTAGCTCCAGCTACCATTTGCAGGGCACAGCTGTGTACCAGGCATCTTACTGGGTGCTTTACATATATTGTCTCCAAACCTCACAACAAATTCCTCATTTTCCACCCTGACCAGTGTGGCTTAGTTGGTTGGGCATCATCCTGCAAAGTGAAGGATCACCGGTTCAGTTCCCAGTCAGGGCACATGCCTGGGCAGTAGGTTCGGTGCCCAGTTGCGGTGCATACAAGAAGCAAGAAATGTCTCTCTCCCTTTCTTTCACCCTCTCTTTCCCTCTCTCTAAAAATAAATAAAATCTGTAAAAAATTACTCCTCATGCCCCCCCGCCTTTTTTCTACAGAGGAGAAAACTGGGCTAGAGCACACAGTATATCTCGCATAGTCCCTAGTAATAGAGCTTGGCTCATAGCAGATGCCCTATAAATAGCGGAGAAAGGAACAAAGGAAAGAAACGGCAGAAGTGAGATCTGAGCTGCCTCCTCTGTGTGCCTTCTACTCCACACATGCCCTCTTGGAGCCTGAGCTCCTGCCGCCCTGGAGCGAGGGGCTGGGTGGAGGATGCCTGGAGCATGAGACACTAGAGGGGGATTGTGGGGCTTGGCAAGGAGAAGATGGTTATTAGAAGAGAAAACTGTACAAGAAATAGTGAAAATCTTGCTGCAATATAAAAAGAGGGCTATGGATGATAATCAGAGAAGCTGAATTTGTCTAGGCCCACTGTTTTATAAACATTGGGGCGGGGGGCGGGGAAAGCAGCATCAATATGTTGGGTTCTACACATTCCTAAGAGCTGAGTCAAGTAATCAATCCAACAGCATGGCCACCAAGACCACTGCATGCAGAACCAGGGTTCTCCCCGAACACAGGTAATGAGGGGGATCTTTCCCGTGCTGTGTGACCAAGCGGTCTGTCCTTCCAAAGGAGGGTTACTAAAGAAAGGAAGCAGGAAACTGGGATTGGGAAGAAAGAAACCCCAAAACTTTGCTTTGGCCTGGTCTTGCCTAGGACCAATAATTTTCTAGTGTACTCCTCCTCAACAACTGAGTGAACTATTTTAATGTTTTTCAGGTAGTTATTTTTTTTTAGTTCATGTCTGCATTTTTTTCCATTCTAGCAATTATGATATTACAAATCATTGAACTGAAAGCAAAACTGGAGAGAGGCCAGAAAACTAATAAGATAATTCAGTAGAAATAATTTCTGAGAAAAGATTAAAACAGAATAGCCCAATATGGCTAAAGAAACAGCCATCCACCATCATTTGACAGGAGTGTACATTACAGAAAGATTGGGTGAAGCATATGTTGCTACACAAATCACTGAATCTAAGAAGAAGGGAATACGATTAAGAAAAAGGATGCTAATTTGAAATGCCAATGAAACTTCATTTATTCTATCTAAACACGATGATGAATTCATGATTTGAAAACTCTATATGGCTTCTAGGAAGATTCTGACATGGAAAGATATATTGCATTGTGTAAACATTAAATATATCTCCTGAAAAAAAATCTATTTTAATATGCAGCTTTCTGGTACCAAATATGTTCATCCTGTTCCAAAACCAGTTTTTAAGTTATTACCAAACACATAGAAGGAATACTGGAGAAGGAGAAATTGCATAATTCTGGGCAGTTCAGGTGAATCAAGAATTACAGATGATTTAAAACATTTCTGGGGTTGTTTTTAGTTTGCCTGCAACATCTATTATGTGGGCTGCAGCAGACTTATAAAGTACAATAAAAATGCATAGGAAATAAAACAGACAGAGGGCAATTACAGATGCAAATATACTTATAATCAGTATACAGTATACTGATTGAGGTCCCCAGGCAATCTGACAATCTATTTGTGGCAAATTGGGAGGCAGTGCCAGCTACATGGGCTTTCTCTTCCCTCTGTTAATTTGGCAGGTTCTAAGTCAGTCCCCAGTGATCCTGCCTCCTGGCAATCGTGCCCTTGAGAAATCTCCTCCCCTTGAGTGTAGGCCGGGCTTGTGACTTGGTTCTAACCATCAGCCTAGGGCTGAAGCGATGGGATATCACTTCAATGATTAACAGGACTTGAAATTGCAACGTTCTTGCTATCAGCAGGTTCCCTCCTTTGGGGTCTGATGCAAGCTGCCATGCTGTGAACTGCCCTAGGGAGAGGCCCACAGGCCTAGGGGCAGGCTTAGGCTGACGGTAAGCAACCGAGCCCTCAGTCAGCAGCCCACAAGGAGCTGAGTGAAGGCTTCCCCTTCATTTCCACATGAGCTTGGAGGTAGATACTTTTCAGCTGGGCCTTCAGGCGAGACTCCAGGCCTGGCAACACCTTGATTGAAGCCTCTTGAGAGGCCCTTGGCAGTGGACCCAACTAAGCCTTACCTAGATTCCTGAGCCACGAAAACCATGAGATAATATATGTATGCAGTTTTAGACGGCTTAGTTTGTAGTAATTTGTTACGCAGCAACAGGTAACTAACACACCTATCTATGATCATTATCCATTCACTCATTCCTTTGTTTATTCAGCAAGTGTTTTAAAATATGTGTTATGTATTAGACATATGCTAAGCACTAGAAAATAGAATAAACACAATGTATGTCCTTAAAGAGCTCAATGTCTAGGAAAAGGGTTATGGGGATATAGGCATTAACAACTAACCATGCTTAAAACTTAATGATTTGTTAGATAAGTGCAATGTGAAAAAAGTATGTCATATTATAAGTGTGTACAGAAGGGCAAATAATTCAATCCAGAGGCCCAGCAGAGGCTTTCTCGTGGAAGAGACATTGGAAGAATTAGTAAGAGTTAGCTCTTCCAGGCAAAAGGTCAGCAGGTCGGAGAGGCAGCAGCCAGGCCCTTGTTGTGGGAGCTGAGAAGCGTTGTAACTAAGAAGTGACATGATTGGATTTGTATGTTAAAGGAGCAGGGTACTGTGGTCACATTAGAATTCCTGTATGTCATCTGCATCTGTAAGAGCTTATTGTATTCCAAGTACTGTTTGAAGCATGTTATGTGCATTAAAACATCTGCCACAAAACACTATGAGAAAGGAGCTAAGCTGTCTCCATTTTACAGATGAGAAAACTGAGGCACAGAAGTACTTGGTAACTTGCCCACGATCGTGTGGCTGGCAAGTGGCAGAATCTAGTTTTAAACCCAGGACGCTGGCTCTGGAGTCCACCCTCTCACCATGGCTTCATGAGTCTCCCTTTGTTTAGAGGAGGGAGGCGGGGGTCATTCTGGTTGAAAGGTGGGGAACTGGAAGTTTATCTTGCATCTGTGCTTGAATATCACTTTACATGAAACTGAGAGAACATCAGCTATGTTGACGCCGTCTAATAGGAGAGCCGTTTGCCCCATGTGGCTGTGGAGCATTAAAACGTGGCTAGTCCAAACTGGGATGGGTGGGAAGTGTAAAATACACATCAGGTTTTGAAGACTTAGTATGAAAAAGAGAATGTAACATATCTCATTCATAATTTTTATCCTGATTATGTGTGTAAAATGTAATATTTGGATATATGGGATTAAAATTAATTACTACAATAAAATTCCTCTGCTTATATTTATTTTAAAAATTTAGTTACTAGAACGTGTAACACTGTGTATGTGGCTTGCATTATGGCTCTATGGAATGACCCCCGCCTGTACGAAGAACGGGGGTGTGCGATGCAGGTATGGCACCTCCAGGTGCCACACGGGAGGCCCCCCTGGCGTTTCTAAAGGAGCGTGGAGGGGAGATTTTGCCATATCACCCAGAAGAGGAAGGGGAAGGAGGGCTGTGCTGGGAGGAGAAGGGGCTGAAGCTACCAGAACTAGAGCAGAGCGCTGGGGGTGGGTTCCTCGCCTTCCCCGCACCTCACACCTTCCATGAGATTAACTGCCCGGTGCTGGAAGTGTTTCGCAGGCCCCCAGGAGGGAGCTGGTGTTCAGAACAGGTTGTGGTGTGTGAAAGTGCTGTACAAGGATGAGCTTTTATCACGATCATGTTGTTATCCCAGGCTCGGTTTCGGGGTGCAAGCAGCAAGGTCACTGGCTTTCCGAGGCCCAGGCAGTCCTGGGCGGTGTGGCGTGTCTGCATCCACCTGTGCGCGGCGGAGGGGCCCCCGACCGCGTTCCAGGCCGCGAGAGACCCTCAGGCCTGGGCCTGCCCTTGCAGTTAGAGGTGGGTTGTATAATTCCTTGCCAACTCGCGTGTGGAGACCTGGAGTTGGGCTTAATTTGATTTAGGGAAATAATGTGCCGGTTCTTGCTGCTGAGTGTTATGTTTGAATAAAATTCATGTCCATCACTGAGACCTCTGATTTTTAAGGCAAGAGAGACTTCAGCAATTTTAGGGGAATCTTAAAATAGACTTATATATATATATTTTTTATTAATAGTCAGTACTACTGGACATGAAGAAACTCTTCAAATATTCTAAGGTAATTGCCCACATGTCTGCCTATTTGAAATATTATAAAAATTATTTTATGACCTGTAATTTTTTGAGGTCCTTGAAGGCTTCTGGATGAATTCTGAATATCTTGTTGCTCCTTAAATAGAGGTTCTCCAGTCGCAGGCAGTTATGAAAATCAGACACGCCAATCTGGGATATCCCATTGAATGACAGATCCAAACTCTGTAATGACTTCAGTTTCCACAGGCCTATTAAAATTAAATAGCAAATTAAAATATAAACGGGTGGTATTGACTGCAGCATTGTTTGTAAAGGTGAAAGAGTAGAGGCAACCTGAATGGTTCTCAATAGAGAAGAGGTTAAACAAAACATGGTATGTCAAGACTATAAAATACATTGTAGTCTTAAAAGAGAATGGGTATAGCAACATGCCTGCACCAGAGGAAAATGTTAAGTTGCTGAACGGTATAGAGTATAATTCCCGTGTATGCATGTATGTTAGGTGAGCAGGAAAAAGGCCTGGAAGAGAGTGAACTAAGCTGTTAGCAGTACTTACACTTAGGAACAGAGCGGCGGGGGGCGAGGGGGTTGGAGAAGGAAGGAAACTTTATTTTTATTTTATACATCTTCGATTTCTTTCTTTCAGTGAGCACGTGCAATTTTTATTTATAACAAAAACATCAGTTTTAAAAATCAGACTTTGGAGAGTAAGTAAATATTTATTTGATTGAACTATGGGTAAAACTGAATAGTTACTTGATGGTTTATTTATATGGATGAAGTCTTTGAGTTTTAAGATCTCCTTACTCTATTTTGTAGCTATATCCTTTCTTTGATCTACTCACTGTTGATATTATAACTATTTGCTAGGCAGTCTTGTATGTTTTAAAGGTAGTTAAGTTCTAGCTAGATGTTGTGTTCTGGCCAGATCATCTAATTGAGCTGTGGTCTCTGCCTTTGTGCTTCGCCTGATGCCAGGGAGGAGGCAGGAGGCCCATGTGGCGCTGAGAAGAAAGCTGGGGAGCGAGGTGCCAGTCACAGCAGTCTTCCACATTTCATTTACCATCTGAGTCCCGCACGGGAGCCCTGCATTTTTACATACCCTTCTGCTCTGTTCTCACGCGTAGTCTGTGCCTTTAACCAACTACTACATATCAGATCAAGTTGGTTCAATTCCAGAAGGGCTTATTCCTTGCCTGCTGTCCTCAAGGTACTTACTGTGAGACTGATTATGCAGAAAGGCGATGACTTAATTGAAATGGTTGTACATCTATGCTATCATATGTTCATTTCAGCTGTGCAGACTAAGCAGATGATCCTTAGGACAACAACGCAATCAAAATATCACGAGCGAGGCGCTTGATGCTGAAGACAAATATAGCATAGAATCCTTGTCTAGTTGAGTGATACAACCTACAGAAAGTTACTAGTTATAAAATGTAGTTATACCCCCACCGTCCAACTGTCCTCTCTGACAGATGATTAGTCCCTTCAGGGAAGAGCGCATGTCTTTGTGAATACAGCATGCATTCAATTACCCAGAGGTCACGGTGTACGGCCTGCACAGAGATTTAAAAATTATTGAGCTGACAATAAAGATTCAGTACAAAAAAAAACTGCATTTCCAACTTCTCTCAAAAAATTGGAAGTTCCAACTGGCACTAGACAACATTTGGCAGGAGCTGAATGAGCCCTGCCTGTATCAGATGGGCACGCTCGAATAAAAAAATATGGTTTCTGTATACTCACGTCTCTATTAAAAGTTGGAAGACAAAGGATAGGCCAAGAAGCTTGCATGGGTTTTAAAAATGGGAGACAACCAAGGCTCATATTCAGTTGGCATATGCCAGTAGGAAATACTTCCATGTTGGTTGGTGTCTTAGCCATTGCTGAGCGCTGTGAGCTGCCTCACTGTTCTAGGCATGTCAGTATTTCCCCCCCGGAGAAAACGTTTCCTCGTGGGGTGAAGAATATCCCTACATGTTTTAATATGCAAATATATGGGTTTATGAGGAAGAAAATGCAATACAAGACCCAAAATGAAAGAAGCTATAGTTTCCTTGACATTTCTGTTGTACCTGCCTGGCCTATGCAGGCCTGAGACCTTACGGCCTCTGCAACCTCTCAGTGCTTAATTGAACTGAATCTGTACCCCAGGGGTTCAGGGGAGGGGAGACCATACCTAGCTTTGGAGTAGAAGGAAGAAATTATTTTGAAACTCCAAATAAATTGTGTGCTCTTTTTACACTCTGAGCATGTCACAAACATCTCTTTTTCATCTTCACAAGCCCTGGGGGTTATTACCATTTTGCACATTGCAAAACTCAGGTGCAGCAAGTTAAGAGCTTGCCCTAAATCATGGTGGGTAGAGCTGTGGAGCTGGGATTGAAACTCAGATCTCTTAACCATTCATTCCCATTTCCCCATGCACATTTCTTACCAAAAAAAGAAGGAGGAGGAGAAGGAGGAGGAGAAGGAGAAGGAGCGGAGGGAGAGAGGGGGAGAGAGAAGGAGAGGAAGGTCAAGGCTCTGAAAGATAACTTGAGTTTAGAAAAGGGAAACGAAGGCCAAGGGCACGGCTCTCTATGCAAGAGAATAGTATCGGGCCATGGAACACATAAAATTGTCAAAGGTTTGGGGGTTGTTTAGTGATTCTATAATACTTGTATCATATAGTGAATAGGGTAATCAAGATCTTGCTTTATTCCAGCTCTGTTTGTTACTTTTGGTGTGAAACAGGAAGGATCACTTAAGGTCTTCATGCCTCAGTTTCCTCCCTTAAAAATTATTTGCTGCGTGTGGAATTGAAATCTATCTTGATTACTTTGATCTTCCAGTATTTTGAGCTCAGCAGAAGCCAGGTGTAACAGTTTAGAGTATTGTTCAGCAAATGTTCACTTTACTGTGAGCAGAATATACTTTCCCATCCCGTTAAGTTTGGCCATGTGACTTGCTTTGGCCAATGAGATGGTAGCAGACATGATGTAAGCAAAGATTTAAATGTGCTTATATGATGGGGATTGCTCTCTTGGCTTCTGCCAAATAACACTGTTATGAAAATAACATGGCCTGATTAGCCTGCTGACATAACCATTATCAGAGATATAAGTTTAATTGTTTAGGGTCTCTTAAGATGGAGTCAGGAAATTTGAAGACTTTTCCATGATACTTGGCTGCCATTCTGAATGGGGGAAAATTTGTTCTTTTAAAAATTTTGCATGGTGGGAAGTTAAGGACTTCCAGCCAAGATGGAGGCATAAGTAGATACATTTTGCCTCCTCACACAACCAAAAGAAGGACAACAACAAATTTAAAAACAGAAAATAATCAGAACTGCCAGAAAATCATATTGTATGGAAGTCGGACAACCAAGGAGTTAAAGAAGAAACAGCCATCCAGACCGGTGGGAGGGGCACAGAAGGGCGGCTGGGGCAGAGAGGACCCATGGCAAGGTGGCACCTGGGGGACCAGGTGGGCAAGGTGGCGGTCAGCAGACCAGGCGGGCCTGCATTTGCATGTGGATAAACCAGGAGGAACAGCTGGGAAGAGAGACAGACCAAGCAATCCAGGGTTCCAGCGTGGAAAAAACCTCAAAACCTCTGGCTGTAAAAACCTGTTGGGGTTGGGGCAGCAGGAGAAACTCCCAGCCTCACAGGAGAGTCTGCTGGAGAGACCCATGGGGTCCTAGAATGTACACAAACCCACCCCCCTGAGAATCAGCACTAGAAGGGCCCGATTTGCTTGTGGGTAGCGGGGGAAGTGACTGAAAGCCGGCAGAGAGCCGAGCAAGTGGCATCGTTCCCTCTCAGACCCCTCCCCCTACAGACAGTGTCACAACGCAGTGACCTGGGTTGCCCCGTCCTGGCAAATACCGAAGCCTCCACCCCTTCCAATGTAACAGGCATGCTAAGACAAAGAAATATGGCCCAAATGAAAGAACAGATCAAAGCTCCAAAAATAGAACTAAGTGATGAAGAGGTAACCAATCTATCAGATGCACAGTTCAAAACACTGGTAATCAGCATGCTCACATAAATGGTTGAGTATGGTTGCAAAATGGAAGGAAAAGTGAAAGCTATGCAAAGAGAAATAAAGAAAAATATACAGGGAACCAATAGTAAAGGCAAGGAAACTGGGACTCAAGTCAACAATTTGGAGCAGAAGGAAAAGATAAACATTCAACCAGAACAGAGGGAAGAAACAAGAATTCAAAAAAATGAGGAGAGGATTACAACCTCTGGGGCAACTTTAAACATTCCAACATCCAAATCATAGGGGTGCCAGAAGAAGAGGAAGAGCAAGAAATTGAAAACTTATTTGAAAAAATAATGAAGGAGCACTTCCCCAGTCTGGCCAAGGAAATAGACTTCCAGGAGATACAGGAAGGCCAGAGAGTCCCAAAGAAGTTGGACCCAAGGAAGCACACACAACAAGGCACATCATAATTACATTACCCAGGATTAAAGATAAGGAGAGAATCCTAAAAGTGGCAAGAGAAAGAGACAGTTGCTTATGAAGGAGTTCCCATAAGACTATCAGCTGATTTCTCAAAAGAACACTTGCAGGCAAGAAGGGGCTGGAAAGAAGCATTCAAAGTCATGAAAGGCAGGGACCTACATCCAAGGTTACTCTGTCCAGCAAGGCTATTGTTTAGAATGAATGGAAGGGCAGATAAAGTGCTTCCCAGATAAGGTCAAGTTAAAGGAGTTAATCATCACCGAGACCTTATTATATGAAATGTTAAAGGGATTTATCTAAGAAAAAGGAGATCAAAAACTATGAACAGTAAAATGACAACTATCAACAACTGAACCTAAGGAAAAAAAAAAAGAAAAAAGAAAGCTAGCAAACTAAGCAAACAACTAGAACAGGAACAGAATCACAGAAATGGAGGTCAGGGGAGGCGAAAGGAGGAAAAAGTACAGGGACTAAGAAGCATAAATGGCAGGGTGCAACATAGGCAGGGGGAGGTTAAGAATAGTACAGGAAATGCAGAAGCCAAAGAACTTGTATGTGTGACCCATAGACATGAGCTAAGGGTGGGGGGATCCTGGTGGGCAGGGGGATGCAGGGAGGAGGGGAGTAAAGGGGAGAAAAAAATGGGACAACTGTAATAGCATAATCAATAAAATATATATGTAAAAAAATGTTGCATGGCGAATCAATGTTGAGGGGGTAGGTATTCAGGTGAGCGAAAGAGGTTAGGAAGTGCATTAGTTTGAGCTTGGGTATCAGAGGGTAGATTCTATGTTTCAAGAGAGGAGAGTCAAATGTTGGAAAGACTATCAGGAGGCCCTTTTGGGGAGATGGAATTATTTATTGAATTGCTTTCTGATGATCACATAGGCCACGGGAGGCAGGAATTTGATTAGCTTTACATTTAAGTGGCCAGAGGCAGTTTTATTACTTCCAAGAAATTATCTCAGTGTTTATTAGAAAAAAGGCCACAGAAGGTATGCACAGACATTACACCACCTTAGAAATATTGCTTTGGACTATGAAAATCTGAAATGTTCTCCCAAGTATAGTACCTGATAACACAGAACAGTAATATTCAGGGGTTGTGGCTTCAAGTTCAAAGAGTATTAAGAATTAGAAGAGAATTTGGAATGGTCTTAAATAAGATATTTATTGATAAGGCCAGCCCTTAATGTGGTCAAATCAATAGAGGTGAGCCCAAGACATTGCCCTCTTAGCTTAATAACATACAGTCATTCATTTTGTTGCTTTACAACCTGAATTGGTTTTGAAAACATTGGTTATTAGTGTTTCCATAATCCAACAGCTACCTGGATAAAATGCCTAATTCCCTACAAATGAAAAGAATACCATGTACTTCTGTTTTCTACAATACATGATTGTTTCTTTTTTTTCACTCCACCGATTTTGTCTCCTGTCTAACACACTTATCTCTTGGGCTCTGAAATTTAGTGTGTTAATTAACATCAGGCTGTCACATCTGGTCTGTCAACCTAACTGGGATCCCAGTGAGCTGTGGGCCCTGAGCCCCTCCCAGGCAGCCTGCGGGCACTCTGAGAACGCTGCTCGATGGAGGTGGGGTGGTTTAACTGCAGGCCCATTCCGCTGTCTTACATTTCTGAAACTGATTTTCCATTATTAACACCGTCTCCCAAAACTACGGGAGAAAGTAGAATGATAGTTAAGGTTAAATGCATAGCCGGCTGGGAGGGGCTGACAGGGGGTTAGTCAATGGGATATTTCGCCCTGACAAAAGTGGGCTTTCCTGAGTGAAAGCAAATTTTTTTGGCTGTATAAACTGTCACCATTTTAAGGCATGTGGGACATGATTTATAAAAGTACCCATGTGCTGCAAGGCTAGGTGCTTGATTGCTGCTTTTTGAGATATCTCTAAGTTATTATTTTAGATAAGAGCAAACACCTACGTAAATAGTTAGACACAAAAAATGATTCCTGGCTCGTGAATTACAGTAGGCGAGGGGTCCCATCTACTGCAATACTTCTGTAACGTTCTAAAAGATAACTCAGAGATTCCGACAAAAGCATATTTATTAATTTGTTTCTAAATAGACTGCTATTCTCAGCATGTGCCATAGAGTAATAACTAATATTTGCAAACTACTTTACAAGGTTACAACGTACTTTTCACATATTTTAATAGCTACCATTTATTATGCCGAATACTATGTTAAATTAGGTTCTTGAAATACATTTTTTCTTTATTCCTCACAACAGGTCTCCGAGTCCATATCACCTTATCCAGATGCTGCCTGTAAAGAGGCTTAAAATTAAGGAATCAAAACAGAACCAAGGAAATGTCGGAGGGAGTATGCCACTCCCTCCAGGAAGCACCTCTCTCTCACCAGATTTTTCCTTCAAATTGGGATTTTAAAGTCAGAGCTATCCAGCCATAGTCACTGATTCATAGAATGGGAGGGAATGTTAGAGGGTACTCAATTTAGTAAAAACTGAAAATGCGTGTCGCTTTAGGAAAAATAATTCCTGTCACGAAATGAATGCTACGGGTAAAAGAACTCGGCATTACATCCAATTAGATCCTGGGCATAAGCTGGTCCATCACCCATCGGCTCTGTTCATCTCTCTACGGTCTCATTTGCTAGGATTCTAAGAGAATTTCAGACACCGGATTTGTCATTTCACTTCTTTTTTTTTCTCCTTTGCAACTGTAACGTTTTCCCTGATATTTTGGGAGGCCAAGTTTAACTCAGAAAAGGAAGATGGGGCTGTATCTGCGTTCGATAGAGGTATTTGGTTCTTAGATGGAGATGTATTTGCCCTAACCTTCCATTAGCTCTTAAGAGACTCATTCAGCACTACTCTGTTTACTCTTGCGGTGGGATAACATTTGACATACTCATCTTTTACCTCTGTTTTCCTCTTTGCCTTTATCCCCATTGGCAGAAAGCTCTGTCTGTGTGAATGGCCCAAGGGGTCGGGAGGGGGCAAGGCACAAAGCGGAGGAGTCCACGAGTCTTTCTGGCTTTTGTTTTCCAAAGGCCTAGTCTCTTAGAGGAAAGGAATTTCTAGAACTCGATGGAGGATTTTGAAAAGACAAAAAGGGGGAAGAATTTTCTCCAAATTGAAAAGACTGAAAAGAAATGTTCTTCAACTAAAGGGGGTGAGAGACAGATGGAGGCAGACAGATACACACACATCTTGATGCCTTGTCAGGGTATGTGGCTCCGCACTGTGGCACAACTCTGGGCGAAGGGAGAAGGCAGAGGAAAGCGCACAGCAGATTGGTGTTGAGTACAAGTACCCTATACCCCACCCCCAACGCATCCTGGTAGAATGTGGGCTCAGGACCGAAACTCTGTTGAGTTATAGACAATAAAAGCGGTGTCTCTACTACGCTTGACTTTGTGGGTTGAGATTCACATCTACCATACTAGTCAAAAAATGTTATATCATATGAATATGTATAGCTATAATGATGTTCATCAAAGAGTTATGGCAAACAAAAAGGAAATAACCTAAGTGTTGTTGATTCAATCAATTATAATGTATAGTGTTTAAAATATTATTTATAAGATAGCTTAATTAGATAAAAATATTCAAATGTTCTGTGATAGGAAAATGCAAGTTATGAAATATTACAGAAGTATAACCCGATATGAAATATGAAATATATGTAAAGAATAAACTAAAAAAATGTTATGTGAAGGACTTTAATTTTTCCCTTAAAATTTTTCTTCAAACTTTAATGTTCTAGAAATAACTGGTATTCCTATTTATAACAAGAAAAACACAATAAAAATTGTAAAATAAATGCAATTAGTTTACACTTTACACTGAAAACACTTCACATTGCTTTTATGGAAAAGGTTAGGAGAAGACCCCTCCCTTCTCACACAATTCTGCTGATATGATGACTGAAATAAGGTATTCCTTCACCCCTTCAGGCTCTTATTGTCAAATGACGCTTAAAATAAGACCAGAAGCTGGAGAAAGAGCAAAAAATAAATTGAAAAATATGAAAATTGAAAAATGAGGAAAACAAAATATGCATAATTGGGATGGAAAAAATGACAATATCCTTACGCTTTCTTTCTTTAGCAGAGTGTCTTATATAAAGTAGGTACTTAGCAAATAGTGACCGAGACTGACAACAAACAAGGAAAAGAAATTGTCTAGCACAGCTGGCTATAAAAAGGGCAAAGGAAGCTCTGGCTAATGAGCCTGATACATTTTCTAACATTAGTGGATTAGTTAAGGAACTCCAACATGTAGATTATTGAATTTTGGAATGGATGAGAATTTATTATAACAGCAGGATATGTGGAGTATCCTGTTAGATACCAGCATAAGGAATTCTGATTTTGACTTGATAATAAGAAAGTTTATGTAGTAATACATAATATTAGCGTATTTCTAGTCTACACTTGGAGGACAACTGGCTAAGCAGAAGCAAAATGTGTTCTAAGAAAAAATTATAAATATAGCAATAGATTTAAATTGTGTTACACATTGAAAGTGTCTGAATTAGTTATTTCTCAGTGCTCTTCCATATTTAGTCCCAAATAAATGGTAATCAAAGTAGGTAATTTAAAATCATTTATTACTATTTAGCACTTAAATACTTCCTAGTGTTTCTCGACAAATCAACATAACATTAATGAGAAATTTAAATAGCTTTCACTATCAACTCCACATTTTATAAGCCCCAATTCCACGAAGACACTCCTTTTATTATATCTGCTTGGATCCAACAGCTCTTTCAGCCATTGCCTCAAAACCGAAAGCAAACACAGAATTCTCATTGACATGAAACATTAACCTCTGCAAACTCATTGTTGGTCTAGTACTTACCCTTGGGAACGTCACTAAGTTTATTTCTTTGAAGAATTAGCAACTTTAGATACGGAAGCCCATTTCCGCAGCTGCTTCTGTGGCATTTCACCCACGAGGACTTAGGACTGGGCAGGTCCACTGAGATGGAATGGATGGCATTGTGGCTGAGGTTTAATATTTCCAAAGCATGTAGATGTGCAAGAGAGCTTAAGGTTATTGTCAATATGAGATTGTTACTGAGGTCCAGATGTTTTATATTCTGTTCTTCATTTTCCGTGGGAGATTGTCGGAGAACCCTAAAGAAACCGGAACTTGCATCCACTGTGGCTGCTGTCTGTGATATGTCACTAGGTATACCAAGTTTTCCAGTAAAGGAACAATTTATCAGAAGATATCGATCCCACTGGCATGCAGCATTGAAAAAAATACTGTTTTTTCTTGATGGGTTTGTCATTGCTCCAGTACAATAAAGACCTATAGCCATGACAATGACTCTGAAACACAGGTTTTTCATAATGCCTGGAGAAAGGAAAAGGAATTGACTTATTATAACTTAACGTAAAAACAGCAAATAAGCAGAAAATTTACTTTTTAAGATTGAGGAAAATTACCTTGCCTTGATTGCCAATTTAAGTGAATGTTTGATTTCTTAGAATGGCATTAAAGTTACCAAGAATGGTATAGCTGTAGTATAAAATTACATTTCTGTCACATTCTAAAGAAAGAACTCCCCCGGTTTCTCAGAAAATACATATTTGCTTGGGCCTCACCTCTGTGGCTGCTTTTCCAGGACCACCCACGCTGCAGTCTGCCTTGGAGTGAGGGAAACCTACCAAGACTAAAGGCTTCTCTGCTTTCTTGCTGGTCGTTAGTGCAAAGTCTATTATCTACAACAGTGTAATCAACCATGTAGTTTATCACGTGAGTGACAAGCCATCTAGTTACGCTGATCTGTGGAACTGTATGGGTGGAAAGTTCAATTCAAACAAGAGATTCTTTATGTTTTTTTAAATGACTAGAAGAACTGCAAGCTTTGTCACCGTGACTTTCTAAATCCTTCTGATATCATTTAAATATACCAACACAAATAAAATGGATTATAAAAAGGATGCTCTGCCTTGGAACCATTAAGATGTAAGGAGATACAGAAACATAGAGTACCTTTTTCACCAAAGATCTCTGAGAAGCAATTACAAGTTTTGCAACAATATTTATACATCTCAATAGCTAAATATACACACAAAAAATTTTTTAAATAATTTTTGTGATTAGTTTGAATGACTAAATTCCATAAAAAACCCAGTGAGTGTACAAATAAGCACTTTAGTCAGTATGTAGGTTTGCAACAATTATCCCTTCCTTTCTGTTCTAATGACACCATTTTAATTCATCACTAGGCTGTTTTTCCTGCCACAGCCTGTTGATTTTCCTTCTTCTTGGCCCATCTTACAAGACTCCAAAGGGTTATTTCCCCATAAAACTGTTTTCTTTATTTCATTCCTTCATTCCAAATCCTCAAAGGGTGCCCTAGTGCCTGCAGCCCACACCCCACGGGGGGGACTCAGGGCTCCCTGTTACCTCGCTACTCCTGGACCGCACACACCGGTGGAGACGCTGCGAGCCTGGCCGCGCACGGTGCCCGGAGCGGGGTCTCATGCCGAAGCCAGCTTTCGGTTCATTTCCAGCTGCAAGCTCAACGCCCTTTCTTCGACTCAGTCCAGATCCTGCATAGCTCTCTCAAATCCTATGGCCTGAAGTCCCTTCCTCTTTTTTTTTCCCCCCTTTTTGCTTTAGCCTCTATTTTTGTCTTTTCAGAAATCTTTCAGTAGATATTTACTGAATGAATGAATGCATTACTAACATTATGAATTTTAGTAGCATTCTATTTGACAGACTATCAATATTACCCTGCATCGCTGTTCCTTTGTTTCGTGTCTGTTTTAAATGCACCCAAAGATAGTAAGCTCCTAGAAGGTAAGGGACATGTTTTCCATGTGATACATTTCCATGTGATGTAAAAATTTTCCCTCATGTTTGGATGAATGAAATTCACCATGAAACTTTTAAACTTTGGTTTCATACAAGGTCAATTCTCCATGTTGTGAAGGGCGTCTAAATTCCGGTACACATAGCCAAGAACTGCAAAGGTGCCCTGCAGCGTGGAGAGGTGACTTTTTACAGTGTGGCTCTTATGCAATACCAGAAATTGAATTAATTTCTAGTCGGAAAGATATTTGTTTCTGTAATTGAAAGTTGCAAGCATTTTATATGCAACTGTACATCACCAAGCTAATATAACAATATCAGAGACAAAATACAGAAATTCATAGGCACATTACTTTGCACTATTGAAGAGAAATGTGGTTAAAAAATACTTATTCTTAAGGGGACATAAGTTAAAGATTTTCACTGACCTGGTTCTTTCTAAGTTGAAGAGATCTATATACATGAACTGATACATCTGAGTTCAAAACAGCTAGGTAATGACAAAATTACGTTCTAAAGTAAGAGCTCTTAATTTTTAAATAAAATGGTATTTCCTACATATAAGCTTATATGTATTAGGTAAGGAGCCCTGAGAACTTAAGGAAAATTTTCTGAGGAAACTGAAAACAATTAGGTAAAATGTAAATCTTTAAATGGACATATTCAAGCTGAAGTATGAGGAAGCAATTAGAAATACTGGGTGTGTATGGGTGTCAGAGTGAGAGATAGGAAGAAGGCAGTAGAAGTAAAAGGTAAGTTAAAACAGAAGAAAAAAAAAAAAACAGAAGAGGCTGTTTTTTATAGAACGTGGGAAGAACACAAGGGTAACACTGTTTCTAAGCCATACCTTGTCTTTAGGTAGTTTCCAGATGGGTCTCTATCTGGAGCGAGCCAGGTGGGAATTTCAGACCTGAGCAGGCGAGGCTCCACCCATCTGCCCAGGGAGCTGGCCCTGTCAGCAAACCTTCACCCTTTCGCCACAAGGCTCTGGCCTCTTGCCACCGTGACAGTGCGTATGCTTCCCTGCGACACCCAGGGAACAGCCCACAGAGGGAGAATGGCCTTCGGCCATGCACAGAGGGTAGGAGGACTATCCAAACTGGGACGCACAACTTCTAAATTTGAGCTCTGGGATTCCAGAGAGATTATGTTAACACTGATGGTGTCTCATTCTCAAGCTATATTTAAATCCATCACGTTTGTATGATTAAATAAAAACCTGCTAATATTTTATAGAAAAACTTAACAGCAAACAATTGAAAGAATCTTTATTGTAAACAGAAGTCATTAATAGTTATTACAAACTGAATTAACTGAAACTCAGAGTTAGCAATCTATATCAGATTCATCGGTTTATTTTTGTGTGACCCAATTTGTAATCTTTGCCTCTTCCACACTTTTTAAAAGATTACTAAAATTATCAGCATATGAATGGTCTCTTTTGTCAAATTTAGCACTGGAACATTCTTACCCTCTTAAGAACACTCATTCGAAAGTAGGTAGAACTCCCACCTTTGATCATCAAAGCTATTGCACGAAATTTGTTTCATAATGTAAAAAGAATACAAATAAGTATATTTTTAAATATTACAGACCATACCCAGGCAGTCCTCATCCTGTGTTGTTTTGCCTTTTCCTACCTACTCATTAGTCTCTGAAGCATCTTGCTTTTATTTCGTTTGTCCCCCTGACCACTGTAACGCACTTCTAAAGCACTGCACTGACTTAAACAGGGGTGTGTCTGCCCCCGTTCCCTGGGATCCTGTCCTTGTCATCTGCCTCCCCCAGCCTCCTGCTTGTCACGGCTGTGCTCAATGTAGGGGAGGGGCAACTGGCAGGAAGAGAAAAGTTAACATTTCAGTTTATAGAAAAATGCCATCTGGTGGTGAGAATGAGTATTTGAAGCTTTACTGTTGTGCAAAACAGGTCACAGGTAAAATAGATGGTTTGTTCTTGGTCTGCTTTCCTGTGAATTTTCCATGGCTACATTTCAGGGAAAAGGCAAAGATGACCTGCAAAGTGTCCTCACCTGTTACCTGAACAATCAGTTCTATAAAAACATGAAAATATCCTCTCATGTTAAAAGCACTTAATGGAGATGTATCAAGAACACAAATATTTCTCAAAAAGGAGTAAAAATAGATTATTTCATGAATTACATTTAATAAATAATATGTTGTAACAGTGTTCTGTAGTTTTTGTAAAAATAGTTAAAGAAGTTTTCAAAACAAATCTAAATAGAGCAGATGAGTAACAAATGTAAAATTAAAAAATATACTGAACATCTGAAAGAAAATTTCAGTGAATTTTTTCTGAATATCATTCAGACATTAAATGATACTGAATATAATAGGTTCTGAATATCACTGCAACTAATAACAATCAGAGGTCAGAAATTTCACTCCTTTTTTATCTTCATTTAAAAACTGCACTCAGTATTATGTAGTACGTCAATCTCTGTTTTAGTATACTTTAGTACAGTATTCATAATCTCTAAGGCATTTGGCTTCTGTCAGAGAGTACTGTAACAATATTGAATGCAAATTGTTTTTTTTGTATTGATTTTCTTATCTACATAGTTCAAAGTACCCAGGACAGAATGCTGTTACACTTGAATGCAGGCTGGGGCCTATGCTTTATCACTACTGCCTCCTTTATAGCAAACCACTCTTACGTCTCCGCCCCGATATTATGAATGTCTTACAACACCAGAGAGTTCCTTTCAAGTGAAATATAAAATACATTGAAAACCACTGATTTGAGGGTTGTAAATCATTACAATGGGATGGTGATATCTGAGCAGAGATCAATTCCCATACTTAAAAATTACTTGTATTATTTTCTGCATTAGCATCCTTTTAGTCCAGTGCTTCCCAACTTTTGTCAAGGCATGGCACTGTTTAAAAAAGGTAGTATTTTTACGGCACACGCTGGGGTGAACCCACCAGGCCATTCCTGGCCGGTGGGACTTGCTCGGGGTGGTTGCCTCCCTACTTCTGTGTTTCCTGAGGGCTGAGGGCGTAAGTATTTTGGCAACCCTTTCCCACACATGAGGTATTCCCGTGTGCCATGCCCGCCAGTCGGGAAACGAGGTAGACCATGCCTAGGCCAATTTGGCCTCCCTATGTCTGATACAATGTTTTGGAACTGGCTTAAGATAGTTTAAAATCTGACAGGGATAGGCCACTTTATTTATTTATTTTTTGACATGAGATTGATTGGCTTATTTTTTTAACCAGAGTAAGCAGATCTGCTTTGTTTGATTCTTATCTGTAAGTTTAAGTTAGTCTTCGTTGGTCTGGTAGAGTTTTAAATAATTAAAACCAACACAGGTAGTGAAAATAACAAGGTATTTGGAAGCAGGTGCATCTAGATTTGAATCCCAACTCTGCTATTTTCTATGTGACATCAGGCAAATTTCTGGTCCTCAATTTCCTAATGGTAAAACTGGGATAATAACACCTACTTACAGAGCTCTGGTGAGAATGAGAGACATCACACATGCAATGCCTAGGACAATACCGAGGACGTCCAAGATGCTCAGTGAATGACAGCTATCATCATTACCTCAAAGTTAAAGCTAGGATGGCATTTTAACTTCACCACATTGTGAACTCTTAATATTTATTAATATTTAACAAGTAAACATTCTGTTACAGAGTATTTTATTCCTAGTGCAAAACTAAGGAACCACAGTTTCTTACTATCTCACATACATGAAGTTCTTTAATGACTTCACTTGCATGTGAGAATATGGCTGAAGTTAATGCACTAAAAATCTGTCTTTCCTCTTAGAAGCCAAAAGACAGAGCATGTAACATTCACTGATGGTGTACCTTTTAAACATCGTAAGTGGGTCTATGCCCACTAGTTACCAATGGCTTATTTACAGTGAGGCTAAACAGTTGCTTCAGCCCTTTATCCTTTAGACAAGAAATAGTTGAATTTTAAAAACTCTTTTTAAAAGACTGATTTTGATTTTATTCACTTCTGGTCATTATTTTAGAGAAGGGTAACTTGAAGATCAGTCCAATGTAATGAAAGGTATTAGAATCTAGGCTTTCTGAGAGTATTTTAAATATGGAGATTATATAACAGATACAGTAGTGCTCTGCAGATAAAATAATTACCAGTTATCACAAACTCTGTAAAAACATAATTGCATGCAGACTCTTAAAAAAAGCCAAGTCGTGACAGGAACACATCGAAGACCTCCCTGGACCTTTAGTGACTGTTCCCACAGGGGCTGTCTGCGACCTGGCAGCCCATGTTCTGGGCTGCCACCTGGACTTTGAAGAGGGTGCCGTCGGCGCACATGCAGAGCTTGTAGCGCACCCACTCGCCGGCAGCGAACTGGTCTCCGCTGGAGGAACTGGGCAGGCGAGCTGTGCTGACCACCACAGTTCCATTCAGGATGATGCTGTTTTCCTAGTGGGAGAATAATAATACAATTTATTTACTTCCACAAGTAGGGATACAACACATTTAATAAACAAAACTTACTGGAATGTTAACAAGAAGGCAGTAAGAAAGAGTGGACTCACGACTGAAACAACAACAAAGAAAACAAAACTAATGTTAAGATTAGTAACCTCTTAGTGATAATAGTTCATAATGTTTACCAATATACTTGTAACACAGCTTACTTCTCAATTCGTTAAAATTACATCAAAATTCCTAAGCGCATAAGAAGGCTGATTTGATAAAGTCTCAGAACCTTTTATTTACTTCCTAACACAGTATTAACAAAGTTACTGATTGAAAAGTTTCTGATGATGGTAAGAAAAACATTTTCTCCTAGAGAAAATGAACTTTAATTTCCAATGTCTTTGCAACACCACAAAGGCAGCCTCACACCTGGTCACTGTGAAGGCCAGGCTCCCCAAGGGGGCCGCCTGGAGGGGCTCTTCCTCAATCCCTCGCTTCCAGGGACATTCCTGCATTGTACGCCCTTTCTTTTTAGGAACTCCTAAGCCTCTCTCTCCCTTCTTCCCTCTCTTTTTCCCTTTCTTTTCTCATTCATGCAATAAATAATTATTAAATGTCTACTACGTGTTAGATACTATTCTAGGTGCTGGAGCACAGCAGTTGACAGACAGGCAAAATCCAAGTCTTCATACAGCTGACATGTAGATGGCGGGAGGGGGCAGGCAATAAACACACAGCCAGGTAAAGCAAACAGGACATCATCGGAGAAAAGTCAGTCAGGGTAACTACAGAGAGAGAGACCAGGCAGGGGTTCTACTTTCCACAGTGTGGTCGGGGGAGGCCTCTCTGGAAAGGTAACAGTCCCACAGAAACTGGGTCATGTGAAGGAGAAGCCATGTGGGTAACTGGGGAAGGGCGCTCCGGGCAGAGGGAACGATGCACACAAAGGCCCCACGGAAGGCGTGCCTGGGGCTCAGGAACGAGGAGGAGCCAGTGCGGCCGAAGCAGAGTGAGGGGCAGACTGGTAAGAGATGAGCCAAATAACTAGGGGCCAGGCGTGTAAGGCCAGGAGACGGACTTTGGATTTTATTCTGAACCAGAGGGGAAGCCATTTGGAGGGTTCTGAATAGGGAAGTGACATGATCTTTTAAAAAGGATCACTCTGGCTGCTGCATAGCGGACCGAGTACAAGGGTGAAAGAAGCAGGGACCACTTGGGAGGCTGTTCCAACAGCACAGGCAGGAGCGGCGGTGATTTACACGGTGGTGGTGGTGGTGGTGATGATGGCGGTGGTGGCGGTGGTGGTGGTGGTGATGACGGCGGTGGTGGCGGTGGCGGTGGTGGTTATGGTGGTGGCGGTGGTTATGGTGGTGATGGTGGTTATGGTGGTGGCGGTGGTTATGGTGGTGGCGGTGGTTATGGTGGTGATGGTGGTTATGGTGGTGGCGGTGGTTATGGTGGTGGTTATGGTGGTGGTGGTGGTTATGGTGGTGGTTATGGTGGTGGCGGTGGTTACGGTGGTGATGGTGGTTATGGTGGTGGCGGTGGTTATGGTGGTGGTTATGGTGGTGGTGGTGGTTATGGTGGTGGCGGTGGTTATGGTGGTGATGGTGGTTATGGTGGTGGCGGTGGTTATGGTGGTGGTTATGGTGGTGGCGGTGGTTATGGTGGTGGTGGTGGTTATGGTGGTGGCGGTGGTTATGGTGGTGATGGTGGTTATGGTGGTGGCGGTGGTTATGGTGGTGATGGTGGTTATGGTGGTGGCGGTGGTTATGGTGGTGGTTATGGTGGTGGCGGTGGTTATGGTGGTGGTTATGGTGGTGGCGGTGGTTATGGTGGTGGTTATGGTGGTGATGGTGGTTATGATGGTGAAGGTGGTTATGATGGTGGCGGTGGTTATGGTGGTGGCGGTGGTGATGGTGGTGGCGGTGGTGATGGTGGTGGCGGTGGTGATGGTGGTGGCGGCGGCGGCGGTGATAGTGATGGTGGTGATGGCGGCGGTGGTGGCGATAGTGATAGTGGTGGTGATGGTGGCCTTGGGGGGGCCTGAAGGCTTTGATGATGGACTGATAGGGCCACTTGGGAACCCTGAAAGAAATGAATGTTTGGGGGGAAGGGGAGAAAATATGAAGATTTTTGTATTGTTGAGTTTGAAATGCCTGTTTGACATTAAAGTGGGGTACGTGAGAAGGTAGTTGGATGTGTGAATCTTAGTTCAAATAGAGATAAAAACAGAAATTCCAAATTTGAGACTCATGAGCTTATGGCAGACATTTTAAGCAATGAGAAAAGTTGGTTATGAAGTAATGAAAATAGCTAATTGACCAGGAAGTGATGGTATCTGGACTAAAAAGACCTGTGACGAATTTTTCAATTTTGTTCCAATGCTGCCATCTTGTGGTCATTTAATATAATTTTCTTTAAATTGGCTAAACCAGTTTTTTTTTAAAACACTTTGATAAAATTCTTTCTAATGATTTGCTATACACTTAGAAATAACCACTAATATTAACTGAATCAAAACGCTAATTATCTTTTCAATATTGGCTTCTATTTCTTTAACTATATAAAAACTGATATGTGTATATGTACATTTCAAAGTAATTTAATATTTGTCACATTAACAACAGGTAGAATTTCCAGGTAGAAAAAAATAAAAGCTTTAGATAACTTGCTAATGGTACAAATCTATCACATCTATTACTTCTTTGAGTTTCCAGTGCAGAGAACAACAGCCCTGCTCTGACCGCTGAACTCTGTTTTCTTAGAGGAATGGCTTCTTACTACAGTCTATGGAAAAAGTACTCAGTATTGTCACTGAATTTCTGGCAAGAATCACATGTCATGTTCACCTTCTTTTTTAGAGATTGAAATATGCACTTTAGGGGAGGAAAGGCAGTTTATTAAAGTGAAAGAACTTAATTTTTTAAAGTTTATTTTTTCTAAGAGCTATAAAATTAGAGTTAAATAAAGGAAAGAATTACTATGAAAGTCCTTAGGTTTAAGTTCACTTTTGTCATTTAATGCTTGGTAAAAAAAAAAAAAAGTTAATTAGATTTAATTAAGTAGCATATAGCAGGTACCAAAAAATATTTTGAATAAACATGCTTTGACCAGAATTGTGAGCAGGTAGAACTTTTTCAGATTTATGGATCCCTTACATAAAATATGTACCTATTAAAATTCAGATATAATCTGGGAAGCACAAAGAAAACCTCACTTTTCAAGAGCTATAATAAAGGCAAAAACTGTTTTCATTTTGAATTAATAACAGATGTATAAATAAAATTACATGCTATACATTTGCTAATTGATTTTCACATCACTGGGTAGAAAAAACAGGAAGGGATATGAAAAACCTTTAATTGAAAAGAAACCAAACAGCTCCACAGAATGTATATTTACTTTGATCTTCCAGAAGTTTCTTTTGAAAGTTTTTTGCTGTTGTTGTTTTTTGGTTTTTGTTTCTGTATTTTAAAATAATACAGGTATCATCATATAAGCTTTTATAAAGAAAGTGACAGGCAAGCAGAAATGAAATAAAAATAAAATTCATCTGTTATCCTGCTACCCATCGCTAACCACTGTTGACATTTGGCAGGCCCACCCAGACTTTATAAACATACATATGTTCTGCAAAATAAAAACTAGATATTTCACAAATTATTTTATAACTTTCTATTATCTTCACAATCTATTTTTAACATTTTTCTATATAAAAAACCATACAACTATATTATCATTTTTAATAATTGTACACTATTTCACATACAGATTTATGTACCCAATAATTTAATTAATTCTCTTAAAATTCTTAAAATATACTCACTGCTTTTAACTCCATGTTACCACCCATGTGAAATTCAATGGTTTTGCCCATGATGAACACTCCTTCATTTCCACGCACTATAGCACGTCCATCAACTTTTATATTTAAGTCACTAGTAGCATTGCTGGTAATCTGAAAATTTAAAAAAAAAGTAGTGAAAATAGTTTCTAAATTAAGGTGAGAATTATTATCAGAGATAGAGGAATAGGACTTTGAACCATGAAATATGCAAGGCAAGTGTTTTTATTCATGTTTTACAAATGATGAGGTAAAGAGATGGCTTGGTAATGATCACATAAGCTAGGTAATGACAAATCTAAACTTATCCTTTCCCCTTGATGGAATTTCTTTCATGCCACCATAAAACAGTAAAAATCCCCTCCCACTTTGTACCTTTAGACCAGCAATTTTCAACCAGTGTGCCACAAGAATTTTAAACATGCAGTACCTGACTATTTAGTCAGGGGTACTGACCTCTTTCCCCTTAGATTGTCAAATAAAAAAAATGACAACAGCCAACACAACAATAGCTGTCTGGTGAGAATGAATAAAAATTATACCTATATTTTTTGTCAGATTGGCAAAAATATGTATGTTTTTGGTGTGCCGCTAAATTTTAGTAGTTTTTGTGTGACATGAGATGAAAAAGGTTGAAAATAGCTGCTTTAAACAGTAATTCTGTTCCATTAATAAAGCAAAGAACATAAATCATACCCTTTCCGTAGATGCTTTTTGAACATTCAAACTTTTCACTCCACTTGGCAAATGAAACTCATGAGTTTCATAGTCTGTGCTGAATAAAATATTTTGAGTCCTTGGGTCAAAAAACTGCATACCAATGTCACTTGTAATAGAAGTTTTGTTCTTTTCTACACTGAGTTTTGTTGTCCCTTGCTGAAAAACAATCTTCAGAAAAACACTTTATTGTGAATATGTTTTCAAAAAAGACTGCATCCAAAATTCACCAAGAACATTATAAAAGCACTGTAATAATAGGCTAATGTCAAATAATTTTAACTGGGTGTCTGTCTTTTCCCCCTCCACCCACTTGGGAGAAAGATTCTTTAAAACGGGGGCTTACATATTTATTTGCTTATACTGCTCTGCACAAACATGTGGGTAGCAGAGCACAGGGATCTACACTTAAGATGGGCAGGGGAGGTTAGGGCACCTCCTTGAGGTTCTATGCAGTTGAAACCGAGTGTTACAGCCACCACTCGGCAGGGGCTGCCAATGACTAGATAGGCGTATTCTCCTTTAGACTCCCAGAAAGCAGAAGGTTTTCTAACCTGGGAAGGTGCTTTTAAAATGGTTTTCTTATATAGAGAAGAAGGGAGTAAACTACATATTCTTAATTATACCTATCAAAGAACATGTGACCATGGGCAAAACCTAGAATATTAAGCACCTAACATTAATAAATTATAAAACCAACAATAATATTAATATACTTATGAATTTTTCTCTAAAGGAAAATACCCATTTCCAATAATCAAATTAGGATTTTACAAAGAACTTTAATGCCCCTCACTTAAATGTGGTGACTTACGGGCTGGTTGTTGCCAGTGATGACCAAATTTTCATTCCGCCTTCCTCCCACTGTGCTCTTATAAAGAGGGTGTATAACTCCCATGTCGGACACTTGCTTGAACCGAAGCAGACCGCTTTCATGAAACTCCAAGCTGTCACAGCCGTTGGGTCCAATGCGAATCACAGCCCAGATAACCAGGGTTATCTAAGAAAGCACAAGCCCACTGTTAATAGGCAGCAAACATTGGACAGGATTGGGAAACAAAGAGAGAAGATAATTACCAAAGGATAAAACTTCCTAAGTGTTTCAGCATGAGGTGAACTTATCAGTTGGTTCTCTACTTATAAATAAAACCGTTTAATTTCTATCAGAATATTACATCCACGTACCTGAGGGTCAAAAAGTGCTGAAAGGTCTACAATTGAAAAAGAGCAGTTCATTTCTCCTATGCCTCCATATCTCACCCAGGGACAACCACTTGCAGCCATCTTATCAATTTTGTCTAGGATTTATCTTCATATTTTAAAATAATACTTGTACATTATTTCTTCTGTCATCAATTTTAGGTTTCATCTACTGATTTTTCTACTGTAACAGGTGAGAATTTTAGCTCCTTTATATTTCTTCACCTCCAACTTCAATCCCAAATTTTGGTTGAATCCATGCTTAGTATATTCAGTTTATGACCGTATAAATATTATTCACTGCTAAGCCAAATACTACACTATGATAGCAGTTGCTTTCTGGTACTCTGTGTCTCTCAGAGTTTAACAGTCTTCCCTTCATTTGCTTAGTTTCTTTGAAAATCTGACTAAATCATTTCAAACCCTCCAAAATTTTTATCAAATGCCTCTCAACTAAATGTTCTAGAAGTCCGAGCCTCTCTGGGAATTTATGAGCTCTATTTTCTCTCTCAGGAGTCCTGGCTGCAACACGGACTCCACCGGGGGTCTGCTGCATGGCTGTGAACAGGAGCTTTTCCTTCCCTTTCTCACTGGAACTTCCTTTTGTCCTTCCCACAGATGCCCCTGCTTTCTGTGTCCTTGTCTTCAACTTCCTGCTTTGGTACCTCCTTTTAGTAAAGCACACACCCTGCCATGGCTTCCTTAGAAAGAATGCATGTGAAGTAAAATTATTTTGAGAGTGTGCATGTCTAAAGAATGTCTTTATAATCCCTCCCATCTGACGATAGGCCAGCTTTGTGTATGTTTCTAGATTTGAAACTGTTTTCTCTCCAAAATTTAAAGGTCCTTCTTCCTTACCTTCTAGTTTCCAGTGCTGCTCTTTTGACAGGTCTGATGCAACTCTAATGTTCTATTTTTTATACATAACCTGTCTCTTTTTCCTCTGGAAGACTTTAGGATCTTCTCTTTAATCCTGGTTTCCTTCAGTTTCAAAGCGATGGCCTTGGCATGAGGCTTTTCTATGTTACGCTGGACCCGGAATAGTACTTTCCGTCTGTCCTAGGAAGTTTTCTTAGTTCATTTACTTGAAAACTTTCTCCCCAGTGTGTTCCGTTTTTTCTCTTTCTGAAACTCCTATTAACAGAATGTTACAGTTCCTGGATTAATCCTTTAATTTTGTTAAACTTTCTGGGAGAGCTCCTTTTCTTTGTCTTCCAGTATCTATCTATCTATCTATCTATCTATCTATCTATCTATCTATCATCTATCTATCTAATTCTGTAAGCTGTTCCTTATTCCGTAATTGCTCCTTTTTAATGGCATGTAACCCTTGTTTCATGGATGCAATATCCTCTTTTTTCTCTAAAGATATTGATTATAGGTGTTTTTTTTTTTTTTGTTTTCTGCCATTCATTGCACTTTATCTCCTTGCGTTCCTACTTTCCCCGTGGGTTGGATGTTTCTCACCTCTATCATTTTTCGGTTCTGGGAGCTTTCCGAAAAAACATTGACCCCTGGAGGCTCAGTGTCCGTATTTCACAGTGACGTTGCAACAAGTCCTCGGGAAGTTCTCTGTGTGGGGTGGGCTTGTGACTGAGGCTTCTCGTGGCCTTTTCACTAGGACCCACCAAATGTCAGCATCTTCAGGTCGTTTCTCTAAGGCGTTTGTTTCTCCAGAGAAGGCCCTTTCATCTCCTGCCCAGGGGATGGAAGCCTGGGGCCAGGAGCTGGAGACGAGCCTGGGAGGGAAATCTCAGTGCTGGGATTCAGACTTCCGGCCTTCAGTGCAGAAACCCATCCCTGCCCTTGCCGGTACAGTCAGGCGCTAAGAATCCTCTCCGGTTCAGTGTTTTCTTGCGTGGGGTTAGGAGGGCTGTTGTCTAACTGCAGGCTGGAAGGGAAGGAAGGCTAGGGACCTCATGGCTCCTTCTACAAGTTTTTCAAACAAGCTGTTTTCAATTCTTGCCTCACCCTTGCTTAAGTTCCTGAAGCTTTTCAGGATTCTGCAAAGCACTTTCACCGGCACACCCAGCCACCGGCTCCGCAATACACACAGTGGATTCTTTTCTCCGATAAGTTATTTGCTATTCCTCCTCCTCCTTTTTGTTTTCATATACCATGATTTAGGATTTCAGTTGCCTCCCACTGTCTTCCAAGATGTTTCTTGGAAGATATTGACATTTTACCTGGGATGAACTTTTTTAGAGAGAAATGGAATGAAAATGTCTTGAATCTGCCACCTTAATCAAAAGTTTCCAATAAGATAAATTAACAAAATAAAATACTTTCAGAATAGGTGCTCCTAGTAAAGCTATTTATAGTACCAGCTCTTTTTGGTTTAAGTGAAGAATTAGGCACAAAGTTTTAGGTGTACATAAATACAAAGGACTGGCATGAAAGTATTAGAAGTAAAAAACAGATGAAATCACCTTAGAACTGCTGAAGTCCATGTTCACAGTCTCAGGTATACCAGAGATTTCCACTCTCTGCTGTGAATTGTCCTACTTTAGTGAAGTGTACAGCTAGCTCATTTGGGGGAAGAGTCGACATATATCCTACAGTGGGTAATCTTTCTTAATGATTTTAAATTATTTTAAATTCTATATGTTTTCATTTACATAAAAAGAATTTGGAAAGGCTGGCAGACTTTGTTATTTCAGATCACCCTCTGAAAATTTAACCCTCAGATCGTTACAACCTTGGATTACAAGTGTTCTTCTATAAAATAGCAACTATCTTTAGAAAAAGCAACATGCCATGTCCTCAGCACTATAGTATAAATTAGCATACCAGATCCTTTCGTTCTCTGACAGCAGAGATTTAAGCCTATAAAATATCATCCTTTGCTGTCATCCAAGGGTTTACAATTTTAAAGATCTAGCTGAGGAGGTAAGACTAAATGTGGGAAAAATTGAACAAAAAGAGAAAGGATTATATTCTTTAGGAGAGGTGAAGCAGTAAAATCATCCTGGCAAAAGTCTCTTCCACTGAGTTGATTCTACCTTTTTAAAAGTCCTTTAAAGGGAAGAATCCATGAACGTTTTTTTTTAAAGAAAATGAAAACATGACAGTATTAGTGTACTCAGTTTTATACATATATTCATTAAAACTCAATATGAGATAACACATATTTAGAAAAGCAGAAAGAGGGTCCCAAAAGACATTATAGAAACAATGTCCATGATTTCACTGAAAAACAAAAGAAGAACGCCCCATGGTAATTAAAAAGAATAGCCTGTACTCTGTACTCACAATGAAGTTGATGACAGCCAGGATGAACAAGAGGATAACCACACAGACGGCCAAACTGCCCTTTCTCCCTCTCAAGCCCGTCTTGTGGAGGCGATCTTCATCGATGGGAATATATCCAGCTTTAAAGTTACTATTGTGCTCTTTATTGACATTCCTTCTCTCAACGGCCTTCTCACGCATGGACTTCTTTACCGGACCATTGGAACTTTGCTAAAACAAAGTACAACACGTTGGAACAGCTACATGCTCTCTTTTTGATGCATTCACTTATTAAGTGCATATTCATAACCAAAGAAAGCTGACTTGGTCAGTGATATATTTTCCACTAACAAACTTCAAGTCACGTTGAGTCTCAGGCTCCAAGCATGGACATTAATTGCCATGCTGGGAGGGGTGGCAGAGAACCTTCAATGCGACCATTTGGTAGCTGATTTCCACTCTCTGCTTTGAACTGTCCTACTTTAGTAAGTGTACAGCTAGCTCATTTGGGGGAAGAGTCGACATATATCCTACAGTGGGGAATCTTTCTTAATGATTTTAAATTATTTTTAATTCTATATGTTTTCATTTACATAAAAAGAATTTGGAAAGGCTGGCAGACTTTGTTATTTATCAAAGCTAAAGCACACATTACCGGAGACCAGCAGCTTCTAAGGTGTGGGCTGGGGAGTCCTGCAGGGTCCTCTGAACCCTCCCAGGGGGCTGGAGGGTGAAAACTATTTTCCAAATAACACGAAGATGTGGTTTTTCCTTTTTCACTCTCTCTCATGAATACACAGTGGAACTTTCCATAGGCTCCATGCCTGTATGGGATGACATCACCGCTCTCACAGCTAATAAAATTGTGCTTCGTGTATTTCTGTGTTAAAACTTTTTCAGTTTTAAGTTCTCATATGGTAAATATCAATGGATATAACCCACGTAAACGAAAGTTCTTTGGGATCCTCAGTAATTTTTAGGAGTATAACAAGGACCCCGGACCAAAAGTTTTGAGAACCTGGCATCCACTATGGTTGCATAACATTCTAGGTATTAATCTGGTACATCACAAATGCAAAGGGAACGGGTAGAAATGGATACTGCCCGACTCACCCATGTTTTAGAGCTCTGAGAAAACCCACTTACTAAATAGGCATTTATTAAGCATGTCATGCTCAAACACCAATACCATAAACAGGAATACAAAAGAAATATAGGACAGGATCCTTACCCTCTAGATATTATAAATGCGACTTGGATACATAAAACAGTAATGCAGTAAAGTAGTTTGTACGTTGCGGTGCCAAAACCAATAGTATAGACAATACACGCTGTGGAGTTTAATGGGAGGACAGACAGGATGGCTTGGAGTTGTCAGGAAACTGGCCCGAGGGGGTTGGTCAGATCTGGCAATTCTGGGAGAATAAAGGAGGAAAAGTAGGGCAGGTTGGGAACATTCTTGCACTGCTGGGTACGAATTCTAGTCTCCACGTCTTTTTAATTGGGAGTCATTGGGAGATTCTGAACAAGAATGATGTTTCCGGATGCTACATGTGTGGGCGTTTGTAGGGGAGCTAGGAAACACAACTACCGGGAAGTAGGCCGTTGGGATGCTGTGGAAAGGAAGGCCTAAACTAGGGTGGGATAAGAAAGGACAGGTAAAAAATATACTTCAAGAGAAAGCTTAGCTGAACTTGTAGCCACGTTAAAGAAAAGAATCTCATATTTACTAAATGGTGACTAGTTCAATATGGGCAATGAAGGAGGAAGGAGATAACTACACGTTGCCTTTGAATTGAATGTGAAATAACCACGTGACTCAAAGGCAACAGGAAGGATGCAATGGGATGTTCGGTTATCAGGACCAGAGGTACAGATTTGAGAGCCCTCAGTCTCGAGGTAAGTTAAATCTCTGAGATGAAGTATTGGGAAACTTTAAATGTGCAGGAACAATGGAAGAATAAGAAATACAATGAATGGTAAGAAAATCCAGGGTGCACAGTGTTGCTGAATTTGATTCGTCAGGAAGTGCCTCCATAACTTTCAAAGTTGAACTTTGTATAGCAAATTGGTAAGTAGGGAATAGTCTTGAAAAGATGCCAGTGTGTATGCATCTATTTTCAAGTCCGGAAGAGCGGAAAGAAAGATTATATCCACAGAATTAGGTACTATCAGAGGAAATTGTGCTTCTTTTGTTTTAGAACCCCCTTTTCCTCCCCCAATTTGGAGGGGGGGTGGCACTTGCATGCTTGATAGCAGAGGGAAAGACGTCCAGAGAGGCAGACCACACATCTCAGAGTAGAGCAGGGTACTACTCTGCAGGAGGCAGGAAAGAAAGTGATACGGAGTACAGGAGAATGAACAGTCTTAAAGGGTGGGTTCCCACTTCACTGAAGTGGTTCACACAAGGAAGGGCAAACATTCTTCTTTTTCCTAAGAATGTTAAAGGCAAGCCCATCTGGTGTTGGGGGTAGCAGGCTGGTTGATGGCTTATGGAAAAAGACAGGAATAATCATTGCGGGTCATGTGGCAGACAAAAATTGTTAAAATTCCACAATGCAGCAAGGAAGGCTCCGTAGAAGATAAATTCAATCTACTCAACAGGTTTTTTCCACAAAGCAGAATGCCAAATGCAGCTGTGTAGGTTGTATAACTGCATGGAGTGCGACATCTATGAGGGTGCATTGATACTGCAGATGTTTTACAGTCAAATATGTGTTTTTATAGTTTTTCCCCCGAAGGTAGTGGAATACCTTAAGAGAGGTGTGCTTTCTTCTAATTTTTATAGACACTTGTGACAGCGCTGAGAGGTAGGCAATTCAGGTCTTAGCCCAAGTTTGAATATAGGTCTATGTAAAGGAGGACAGGGCAAAATTCATCCCTGCTGGACGCATTCTTTACTCTTCCCTGCCAATTCATATACATCATTATAGTCACTGGATGCATTTAACAGTTACTGAAGAGTGACGGCATGCCAGATGCACGGACTGCCAAGATGAGCAAGTTACAGCACCTACCCTCAATGAATTTACAAGCAAGTAAGTAGAAAGACAAGGTCAGTAACAGTGGCAGTTCAGCACGGCGAGTGCCGTGGTAGGCAGCGCGCAGGACACTGACAGAGTCCGTGAGAGGACTGCCATGCTGCTTAGTGAGCAGGGGCGTCGGCTGAAGGTGTTTAAGCCAATTTGAGCTTTCAGTTGAACCTTGAATCAGACAAATGGTGTTAGTCAGGCAAAAGTGCCGAGAAAGGGATTCCAGGCAGAGGGAACAGCATGGAAATTCTGAGTACAGGTTATCTCTGGGCAAACGAGTTTTGTAGCTTTACATGGGTGGTGAAGAGGGTAAGAAAAGGCATGGCGCAAAAAGTGCGGTCAGAGATGTTGTTAGAAGCCAGTCAATGAATGGACATAAGTACCATGTCAAGAACAATGGACTTCATCTTTAAGGTGATGGGGAACTACCAAAAATTTAAAATATGTTAGTTTTGCATTTGCATTACGACAAATTAAACCCAAAAGCGATGAACTGGAATAGAAGAGTTTCAAGTTGGCGAGAGCAGCAGCAGGTTTCTCGCACAGTCCCAAACGAGGGCTTGACTGAGGGGGTTCTTTGTTCAAATACCAAGCCTGGGACAGCACAGCATTAGACCAAATGCGGAGCCCTTCTGAGCACCCCTAAGCTGGCCCGGATCCCAGGTGTCTGGCTAGGTTAACCAGGAGAATGAATGGTTGTAGCCCTTTTAATAGTAAATACAGTACAATCCAGTTTTGAACATTTTTGAGTTTGAACTGCCCATGGAAAATTCAGTTACATTCAAGGCTAGAGACATAAATGCATATCTTTAAAGTGGAGATGGATCAAACTGCTGGTTTATGTGTAAAGCAAGAATAAAACCTTGGTGGAACCTCAAGAACATCAATAGGTGATGAAGACTTGAACTATTTAAAACAGAAACTGATAAATTAGGAGGGAAATCAGGAAAGCCAGGGGACAATTTTACCCTCTACAACTCCAGACTTTGTCTCCTCTCACCTATTCTATTCTATTCTATTCTATTCTATTCTATTCTATTTTACTGTTTTAACCTGTAGCTGGCCTATTGTCTTCAGATTGTTCTGCATTTGTTAGGCAATTTGACTTTAAGCTCCTTGAAGGCAGGTTTCATGTTTTCTATGTTTTGTATTCCTTAGAATGACTCTTCCAGTGATATATGTCTAATAGGTCTCTGAAAGCAGTTAATCACCCAAGAAAATCTTTCCAGAAAAAAAAAAAAAAGATTTTCTGGAAACAGAATGTTGGTTGACTCTTTTTTTTAAAACAATGTTTAAAAATGGGACTTTTTCCAAAGAAACTATCACATAATAGTTGTTTTTTTCCTAAAGGGAAATAACAGTTAAAATAAAAAATGATCATGAAAATTATTTTTGTTATGAGATCACCCTAGTAACTATAAATATATATTTACATACACATTCATACATACATGTGTGTATACACCTATACCTATATCTATATCTATATCTTGCATTTGGGGGATAATAGCCTTTGAAGCTATTCTACGTTACAAGATTATAATGCAGATCAGGAAATACTTGATAAAGCATTTTTAAAAATTATTTTAAACCAGTCGGATAGGAGACAGTTTTATACTGGTGACTAACTCTCCAAAAATCAAAGCAGAGGAGACGCCTGGACGTCTGCACATCCCTAAAGGGGACGGCAGGAACAAGAAGTGGCCGCGAGCGGACACCGGGCGACAGCTGACTGTTTCTTGGCTGCAGTCAGGGGAGCCTCGCGGCGCCGGGGCCGAGGTTATTTTTACCCGCATCTTTGCTGGCCACTGAGCCGGGCGCGTCCTGGCGCAGGCTCCGGGCTGCCACGCAGCCTCTGGACTCTCAGCACAGCGACCCCTGCTCACCCAGCCGAGGGACAGCCAAGCCAGGCGCAGGGCAGCGGCTTGCTCCCCGTCCCTGCTCCGGAGCCCCTACCCGGGGTCCCGCCCGGCCTTAGCCAGCATCCCGGGGTGCGGACAGCTCCTCCCGCCCCGCCCCGCCCCGCCGAGCCCGGCTCCGCAGCGCCTGGCCTCGGCGGGCCCGCTCGCCCCGGTCCCCGCCAGCCGGCCAACCCTACGGCGGGCCCCAGCGGTAGGACCCCGGCGCGCCTGTACCTCCAGTCCCCCGCCGCGACGGCGCTCACAGACCTGCTCGGCCGCCGCCGCAGCCGCCGCTGCCGCCATCTTCCCGCGCCCGCTGCCGCCGCCGCCGCCGCCGCCGCACCCCGAGCGCGAGCGCCTGCGCCTGCGCCCTGGAGGCAGGGGCGGGAGGGGTACCCGCTCTCCTACTAGCCCTCCGGGGCAGTGGGGTTTGGAGCGCGCCAAGCTGCAAGCGCACGCTCTGCTGCCCCCTGCACCCGGGACTCTGGCCTCGGGACCATTTTCCCACGCACGCGGGGATTCCTCGCGACCTGGGCTGCCTCTGGATTCTATCGAAAGGGCACGAGGACGCCTCTCTCTTTGCCCTCCATTCCCCGTCAAGCAGGGCTGGTGCCATCCCGGGCTGGGAGATTCTCCTTGCGTCACTGGCTCGAGTGTCCGGGCTGGAAAAGGGCATTTTCCAGAGTGCACGTGGGCGAAGAAAGAGTGGCAATGAGGATAGGAGGTAACACATCGCCACTTAGCCCGCTAAAATCTTGAAAACGATGAGCCCTCAAGGAAACAGCCATTCAGGGATGCTTCTTACCTTCGGAGGACCTGTAAAGTCTCATGCCTTTTTTCTGTGGCATTGGGGGTCGGCTTTTCCACTTAGTATTGGAGATAGTGCACCCGGGGAACCTAATGTAGCAGTATCTTCTGCCCACCAGGAAGCACCCAAATGTACAAGTCACTTGAATACACATTCCTTGTTCCCGGTCTTCAGTAGGATCCAATAATCCTTTTAGGATTTTTGTTTTTGTTTTTGTTTTTTAAATGCAGTGAGGGCAGTAGCAACCAAAGTGCAAAAACTTTTTCTCAGGTAGCTGAAACCACTTTTAGTAAGCACCTTTGGGCCCTAGGGTTGCCTAATTCAGCAGGACGCACCAAAGAGACTAGCTGGCAAAACTTTTCTTTCTCTAGGAACTAGATCAGTTTTGCTTTTTGATGTCTGGAGCCATTATTTCACTGCTATGCCTACTTTACATCAGAGGATTGCTGTGAATTTTAAATAGATAATCTGTTGCATAATAAATACCTCATAAAATTTTCCCTTCTCTTCCCTGATTTTGGCTAATGTGGTCTTTTCAAAATGTATTATCTTCAAACTTTTATTTTCTGAAATAATAATATTTAGAGACTACTGTGTACCTGGCAATGCCTCTTTAATTCTCCCAACAGTCATATGGGGTAAATCATATTATCGCCATTTTACAAATGAAGAAATCAGGACTCAGAGAATTTAAAAGGTTAACCAAATTTTTGACTAATAAAGAGCCAGAATGGAATCTAGGTCCACCTGATTAAAGTCTTTGCTCTTTCTACCATATAAGAATATTTAATTCTGCATTTTTTTTTTGCCTGTTGCATATTATTAGCAGTTAGAAGTGCAAACCAAGGCGAAAGGACTAGTTAGGTTATGAAGACAGTTATCTCCTTCATTCACTTTATAGTGGGTGGAGTAGTGTCCCCCAAAAGATATATACAAGTCCAGCCCTGGTACCTGTGAAAGTGATGTTATTTGGAAATAGGGTCTTTGCAGATGTAATTAAGGATCTCAAAATAAGATCTCTCTGGATTCCTGTGGGCCCTAAATCTAATGACTGGTGTCCTTAAAAGAAGAGGAGAGGACAGAGACACATACAGAGGAGAGGATGATGTAGAGACAGAGACAGAGATTGGGGTGATGTGTCTACAAGGCAAGGGATATATAGACTTGTCAACAGAAGCTGGGAGAGAGGCATTAAACAGATGCTTCTTGCTCTGAGCTTCCAGAAGGAACTAACCCTGCTGATTTCTGACTTCTAGCTCCCAGAACTGGTAGAGAATATATCTCTGTTGTTTGAAGCCATCAAGGTTGTGGTTTTGTTACAACACCCCTTAAGAAGCTAATTCACACTTCAAGCTCAACACATCCAAAAACTGAACTTGAAATCTTTTCCCCCAATCTGCTCTTCATGAATTCCCTTAGTGAATGATGGCACCATCCAGTCAGAAACCTCACAGTCATTCTATACTATTTCTAGTGTGACCTTTCTAAAATATGAACCAGATCAAATCACTCCTCATCCAGAAGCTTTAAGATCCTTCAGTACCTTTCGTGATAAAAATTATACTCCTTATTTATAGTGTAAATAAGAAGAATTACACTTCTTATTTATAGAAGGTATGTAAGGTCCTTCATTTTTATGGTTTCCATCTACCTCTTGTTAGCCTCTTTTCCTGCCTCTTGCACAAACTCATTCTTTTTAAAAAATTAATTTATAGACTTTTAGCGAGAGGGGAAGGGAGAAACATCAAACTGTTGTTTCACATATTTATGCTTTCATTGGTTGATTCTTAAATGTGCCCTGACTGGGAATCAAACCCTCAACCTTGGTGTAAAGGGATGATGCTCTAACCAACTGAGCTACCTGACCAGGGCCACAGACTCATTCTTTACTTCAGCCACATGCAATATTTGCAGTTCCAATTTATTTGCCTGAATACAGCAAGTTGTTAAGGTCTCCGTGCCTTTGCATATGTGGATATTTCTCTCTCTCTCTAATTCAGCTCTTCTCCTACTTGTCCACTAAAACTCAGGTCAAGCAGTATGTCTTCTGGAAAGCCTTTAATCTTTCTCTTCATCTCAAATTTCTGATTTCTGTGCACCTCTCTGTGATCCTTAAGCATATCTCTATTGTCACATTCATCCCACGATGCTGAAATTTATTTCCTTGCCTATCTATCTTGCCTTAAAATTCATCTTTACCCAAATTCCATTACTCTTTAAGGACTAACCTCAGTCCCACCTTCTCCTGACAATTACAGCCAATCATTGCTCTCTCTCTCTTTAAGTGCTTATGACTCCCATCTGATACCTAATAAAACACTATTTTACATTGTTTTACCTTTCACACACACATATGGTTTGCTCCTGGGAAAACTGTAAACTCATTACAAAGTAGGAGCAATGTGTTACTATTTCTGTGTTGTTCCAAATACTGAACACATTTGGAGACAAGTATATAATATATACTTAGTGACTTTGGTGGGTGAATATTGGATTAATTTTTTCTTTTGAGTAAAGAATACCTAAGTGTTTCTGACGCATGTCCACTCTAATGTGTCATTACCCCAGAGAAGAACCTCATTAACTCTCATCTGCGTCTCCTAAGTGTTCCTGGGTCCAGTCCTGCCTCCTCCAAAGTTAGCCTCTAGGACCTCAACATGATACAATAGAGAGACCAGAACATATTATTTATCTTTTTACAGTTTTTTGCTGCTTCCCCATTGTCTACAAAATAAATATGACATTCTTAGCCTGATATGTAAGACCCATCATAGCTGAACCCAGGACTATCTTTCCAGCCTTTTCTCTGATTCTACCACCCCACTGGACTGGCCTTCATCATTCCCTGCCTCTTCATGCATGTTCATGCCTCTTTGCTACTGTCCATCCTGTTCCATTTTCTCTTCTCTTCCCGGTGAACTACATGCCATCCTTCCAGGGCTGGCTCTCTGTGCCACTTTCTTCTATCACTTGCCCTGATCCTTTCTTCTGGGGATGGAGGAGGGGGTAAAGGGAGGCTCAGTGTTTCCACAGAATTTTGTATTCACTCTAATATCATTTGTTGCACTGAGCAGGTTGTGTGTCTCTCTCCTGGATGGATTGTGAGACCTAGGGTCTGAGTCCAATTTTGTCTTATGATTAAGACAGACATTTCTGTCACACTGAGAATTTAGAAAATGTTGATGAAATGTGCTGAAAAGATCTATTTCAACATCCTTCATCCTAGGACTGCCCTCATGCTGTCCCATGTCCCTCTCCTGGGGTGTTTAAAGGTATCTTACAATATAAATCATGCCCACTGCACCTTTGCAATAGTTCAATGTATCCTAAGCTCACCCTTTCAGTTTTTACTTCTCCAGAGCCAAGGGCCTTGCCTTTGGCCAGCAGAGATGAGAAAAATGAGGGCAAAGACGCCTTCTTTTCTGAACTAACTGTAATCATGGAAACTTGGTATGAAACAGGAGGGCTATCTTCTAGCCCTAAAAATTCCACTACACCTATTTTTTTTTCTTCTAATCTGTGTTCGCTACAAATGTTCTATGGTTTGTTTAGATGCTAGTGATACAGTTGCGATACAGTAAAAATTTCCTCTTGTTTTTGTGGTTTAATCAATAGAGGGTATGATGTAGTTTTCCAGAAAAATTCTGAACTGTTACTCTGAGCAGGGAATGCTCACTGTTATTACATGGAAAACAACATCCCTGCTTCGGCCCAGTGGGAGAAGCTGCCTTCAGCCCTGATCCCTACCCATTACAGTTGGCCTTGAACATGGATTTGAACTGGGCGGGTCCACTTATATGCAGATTTTTTTTCAATAAGTACATATAGTACTATAAATGTATTTTCTCTGCTTTATGATTTTCTTAACATTTTCTTTAGCTTACTTTATTGTAATAATACAGTATGTAATACATGTAACATACAAATATGTTCATCAACTGTTTATGTTATTGGCAAGGCACTGGTCAATAGTAAGCTAATGGTAGTTAGGTTTTTGGGGGAGTCAAAAGTTATACGTAAATTTTCAATTTTTCAGGGGTCGGCACGCCTAACCCTCATTTTGTTCAAGGGTCAACGTAGTTCTTTCTCCAGTGGTGTGTTTTTAAAAAATCTCTCCCTTCCAGTGTGGCAAAGAACAAAAAGGACCAAATGAAGCTGGCAAGTTGAAAAACACAGAGCAGTCAGGCTACCAAAAACTGAGTAAATGGACAAATTAGTGTTTTGCTTCCTACAAGGAGAGAAAGTGCCTTAGCAATACCACAAATAAAAACTGAATTTAAAGGAAACTTCATGCGAGGGGGCCAGCAAAGCTGAAAAATTTTCTTCAAATAGTGATATAGGCCCTGAGCCAAAGAAACCAGCTCCTAATACAGACGAGAGTAGCGCGGCACACACAGAAGATCATCAGGGCTCCTAAAAAGCATCCCACGGGGCGGAACAGATCATTCTTCAGCCACCCTGTCGTTAGTGAGGAGGAACTGGGTATTCTGCTAAGGATCCCACCATATATCCTTGTAGCTTATTGCATATATTTATGTTTGGTGTAGCTAGCATGAAACTACATTCACAGCTCTCACTTTGTTGAGTGGATCCCGTTACTCTTTTATTGGCTTCTTGAAATCCCAAACCAGTGGACCAAGGCAGATAAAATTTAGAGCAGACAAAACTAAGGACGTTCAGAAAGCCTAGTCCATCCAGATGTTTGACACATCACACTACTCTAGAACAAATGGCTTCCGGCCAGGTGATAGGATTATGATGCCATAGAACATCAATTGTCTATTAAATTTGCTTTCTTCAAACTCAAAGGGGTTGTGACCTCAGACACAAGGAGCCAATCATCTCCTCCCTCCCTTCCTTTATTCCCCTTTTTTGTTAACAATTCAGTTCCACAAACTTATATAGAGGGCTTAGTTGCTGTGCTGAAGATATAAAGCTAATAAGCCTCTTTTCTTCTAGAAGCTCATGAGCTTATGTTGGAGGCAGAGAAATAAGTGCAATATTTGGTAGTAATTGCAGCAGTATTAACATGTCTGAAATATAAAATATACAAAACATAAAGAGGAGAATGATGAGCTCTGAGGAGCTGGGGGAGTTGGGAAGATTTTTGTCAGTTTGAGTTGGGTTTAAACTGACTTAAAGTGCAACTGTGGAGGAAATACCTTGTTTATTACAGCAAGCCTGCAGAATAAATTGTATGCAAGACAGATGCTCAACTTTTGATGATTAGCTAATGCTCCCAGAATCAAGGCTTGACTTGAACTGAACTATGAACCCAAAATCGAAACAAAGGGCAAGATTCGCTCAATCTGAACCTTAACCAGCATGTTAAAAAACAACACTAACATTAAAGAATGTCACAACTCCAAGAGATCTTAAAACTCATTTAGTCGATGTTTCTATTATGTAAATAGAAAAAAACTGAGGCTCAGAGTGATTAAAGAGTTATGGGAAGTCATGAAAAACCACTGTTGGCAGGCAGAGGTAAAGCAAGAGTGCCCATGTTTCAAGTTACTCAATAGTTGTTCTTTCAACTTCTCCAAGATATAGGGTGGGCCAAAAAGTCCATTTAGTTTTTTTCCTTAAACTAAGACATATTTTTCATTTTCACCAACAGCTTTATTGATTTGGATATTTTGAGTATGTTTGCTATCTCCCACATGGTAGAATGATGATTGTGCTCAATTAATGTCTAGATTTGATTGCTATCAACTTCAACTGGTGTAACTGACCATGGAGCATCAACCCGCAAGAAATCTCCAGCATGAACCACTTTTGACATATCTGATCAGTCATAGTTCCTTTTCCATACACTGCACAAATCTTTTTTTGTGTTTCAGTTGCGTTTTTACCTTTCTGGAAATAATAAAGCATAATATGCCTAAAATGTTGTATAGTTTCTTCCATCTTCAATATTAAAATAACTACAGAAAAATTCACCAGTTTTCATAAGTTTTTAAAAAAATGCACTCTGATATGACAGCTGTCACAGTGCAATCTAACAAAATTGTTTCAAATGAAGTTAAAGTCAACTAAGTGCTACTAGAGCCATCTTACAGAAAAAAACAACTTTTTGGCCAAGTCAATATTGTAAGAATGCCTAGATTCTAGATATCCTTCAATTATAAGATTTTTACTTTGGAACATTTCATTAAGTGATTTGCTCAACCATCACTCTATTGTTGAAGACTTAGAATGTTTCCAATTTAATTTTCTCTACTAAATATAATACTGCGATCTACATTTGTAGTAATAGTGATCATAGCATTTATGAAGCACCTACATTATATATCAAGCACTGTGCTAAGTACTTCACATTAATTATTTTGTTTTATAATAATTCTGTGAAGTAAGAACTATTACTCCTTCTTGAAGATGATGAAACCAAGGATTAGAGGCTAAAGTGCACGCAGCAAGGAAGAAGATTTAATCCCTAATCTTACATAATATTCTAACTTGTTTTTTATGAATATGTAAATAGGGCTGTTCAAAATTCCAAGTGTCTATTGAAATATGAAATAATTGGCTCTAATTTTAGAAATTTGTGAGTTTTTTCTCCTTTCCCTTTCTCCTTCTTTGTATATTTTTAAGGGACAAGAGAGTCTAATAAATATCTCATGGAATTTTTGTGTGCATTTTTACTTTAGTAATTATTCTACTATGATAAAATAACATGTGTTATATATCCTTATAGTTCTTATTTTGTGGCCTATGGAAAATCTTAGGAACACAGGTCCCAGAAATGAGCACCTCTTTTTAATTAGAGGACACTAAAACCATTGTAATTGAGAGAAATAAAAACAAGAGGTGGTGAAAGTTCTGAATTTTATGGTACTTGAACATATGCAATGTTAATAGAATTTCAAGTACCTAAGGAAATGGAACTGAATTGAAATATTTAGCAAGCTGGGGCCCCGCTTCACTCCTATTGTTTTAATTAATAGAAAAGGATGATTTGCAATCAGTACATCATTTGGTGGTGTATAAGATACGGGCTTCTAAAGTGCTTAATGATGGTTGAAATGGTTTAATTTCTTAAGTTGTTCAAACTATTGCTATGGTTGACTATATCCTTTTGAAACAGTGTCACACCAAGTCTGAACTTTTACAAAATCTCAATTAGAGAATTCAGAATTACTAAATGAAACTTAAAAGTGCTCAGTGGTTTTACAATTACACCACCAATTCTTGTCCAATTCTGAGGGATTTACTTTAACTTGTGAACACCCAGGAACTAAAATCTATAGACTTGGTACCCTCCCTGTGGGCCCTGAACGTTGCAAAAGATAGAAGCAGGAAGAACGGAAACTGTAGTTAAAAGCAGGTTTCATACAGGTAAGCCCTAGGTGTTATAAATGAATAATTAAAGGACTGGGAAGTGAAAGAACAAAAGGGCCACATGCGCTTTCGTAACCTAAAACTTCTCCAGAGAAATAACCTTTGCTTTTCCTAGACAGGAGGCCTTCCGCTGGCTCCGCTCCCCTCCATCCCGCGCTGGGGGCCGGCCCGCACGGCAGCCATCGGGGTGTGGTCGCGGCCTTCCTCCGGGCCCTGGCGCACCCCGGAGTCTCAGTGGCAAGGGGCGCGCTCGCCTTCGGCCAGCAGCAGCAGCAGCAGCAGGAGGAGGAAGAGCAGCAGCAGGAGCAGGAGCAGCAACATTGCGCGCCCCGGCGGGGGTCCCGGACCGCAGAGGAAAGCGAGAGGCCTGCGGGTCCGGAGGCGGAGGGAGGGCGCAGTGGGGGCCCCGAGCGCCCCAGGTGTTGCCATGGCGCCCGCGGCGCGCGTCCGTAGCAGCCGCCCGCCCACGTCAAAGTTTGTTTAATAATCGCCTGGATGTTTATGGCCTGGACTCCTAGGTGGCCGCGGGGGAGCCAGGAGTCCGCGCGGGGCAGCGGGTGAGGCGCGGCGGCTGTGGCCCAGGGCACCTCCCCCCGGCTTCCCGAACCCTGCCCGGTCCGACCCGAGGGGGAGGATGGAAACATCGACAGCGCTCTGAGCCCCGCAGAAATAAAACACCCTTCCCGCCTAATCCCCCCGCGGTCCTGCGGAGGCCACCGTCTCGTCCCCTCCACGTCTCCATCTCCCACAGCCGGGCCGAGCGGAAAAGCGAGCAATGGCGGAAAACCTGAGGAAATTGGTCTCCAACGAATCTTTACGATTGATGCACGACAACCTAGAGCGCTGGCTGAGGGAGTACAACGTGAGTCAGGGTCGGAGACCCCCGGGGGCTCGCTCTTCCTCTAGCTCCTTGCACAGCCCGCGGCGGGGGTTTCTTAGGCCTGGTAGCGGGGTGGCCGCTTTGCAAAGCCCAGGCGGTTGAGATTTCTAACTGGGACCCAGCCTTCTATCGGGAGCGCGGGAAGGAAGGAAGGGCACGTGTCTGCCGGAGCCCTTTTCTTCCCGCGACACGAGGCGGCGCTGGGGATGCGCAGCCTGAGGAGCTCGGGACTCCCGGCGGAGCCGTAGAGAGCGCACCCCCTTCCGTTTATTGGTAACCAAGGACGCTGGAGGCCCTAGCAACGGGAAAGACCACACATCCTCCGGTCTGGCGGTCCAGCACGCCACTCTCCCTCCCATTCCTTCGGCCAGCAATCCACCCCCGTGTCGCCATCTAGAATTATTTTTTTTACTACACCCCTCCTGCTGCTTCTCCGCAAGTCTTCCACTATGCGGATACCCAGGGGTTGTATCAGAATAGACTTTTATTAAAAATACCCCCAGTGTTTATTACCCAGAAGTGAGTGAAAACAGTCACTTGTCAACGTTTGCCGGTTTCACTGGCCCGCATGGCATGTAGGCAGTTTCCACACCAGGGCAGATTTCAGAAGGCCTGTTGCCAGGGCATTTATTTGCAAGAAGGCAATGTTCTGTCATCAGACCCAGAGCGCTCTTCAAGTCTCTTTAATCCCCACCTCCCTGCGCAGGCTCCCATTACTCTCAGACCTCGCACAGAAGGTAGAACTCCAGTGCAGAATCTGCTTTGCATTTGGTCTGTCCGTCTTAAATGGGACAGTTTTACTCTTACCAGCAAGTAGACCGGCAAGGAAGACAGATCTGGGGACCTGGAAGCAGAACGCCTAGGTGCTAGGTCCGGTTCTACAAAGAACTAGCCGAATGACCTGGAGCCATTGATCTAACCTCTCTGGGTCCCAGGACCTCGCCTGTGAAGTGGGAGAGGCTGGACTAGAGCACACACAAAGTTCTTTTTCGGATCTCAGTTTTTTGAGTCTACATCGGCTTCACCAACAGTCCTGGTGGGATTGTTTCTAACATCCCACCAGGAAAAATGCAGCTGGCTGCTGCCTTGAGTCCCTTGGGCTTTCCCATTCACCCTGCCACCGGAGCTCCTGGGGTGCATGGAAACTCAACGGCAACAGCTTTCTCTATAGCCTTGCTTCCTAGTGTTTAGTGTTTACCCTCTTTGTTGACTTTTAAAGGGCCACTTCTGACCTTTCCTTCTCCAAGATTGCAGGAAATTAAAATTTACCTCCTTATCACAAAAGCCTTGGGCCTCCCCTCCCCCATCTTTAAAAGCGCCTGTTTGCTACCTAGTCTCAGAAGGTTGAGAATAACAAATCTTAATACATGTATTTACCCTTTTTAACATGACCTCTTACAAAACAAAATTTATTGTCCTGTGGCCTAAATGAACTCTGAATGTTAAAAAGTATATTAAGTTTTTCAGAAGACGTTTAACCCAAATGACTCTAACATTTAGCTGGGCCAAATTAAATGACTGTTTCAGAAACTACCTGTAAGTAGTAAGAAAAGTTTACTGTCCTTTCCTTTCTCATTAACAATAGCCTTTGCCATTCTTCTGTTCTCACTGAAACCATTTCAACCTAGCTTCCCTTCTCTGATTGTCCCCTATTCCGTCCACCGCCACCGCCCACATAACAGAGATCGCGCTGTTAGAGGGCAATGCCTTCTGAATTGTGTCCATTTCCCGGGCAACACCATTTCTCTTCCACTCTTGGGCATGTCTGCTGCATGTGACTGTTGGCACCCCCATTCTTCTAAGGCTTTGATCATTTGTTATTTGTCTCCTTGCCTTACCCACTCCCCTCTAGTGGCTGTTCTTCAAGGGCCAGACTTTGGAACTCTTCTTTTTGACCTCCATTCCTGTGTCATCTCTTACATGGTTGCTGACGAAGCTCATCTATATTCAGGGTCTGTTCCCATCTGAGCTCTCACTTCTCTGGTCATCCATTGAACATTCTCAGTTGTGTTGTTGTTGTCTCAAAGTCGAAGCAGTCTATAACCGACCTTAGCCTCTCCCATGCCCCAAACACTGACCTCTTTCCTAACTTAATCATCTTTATCATTACACATATTGCATCCCTTTCACCAGCATAATCTGTTGGTACCACTTTTTAAATTCACACAGAACCTGAGCATTTTTTCACCACTTCCATTGCTACCACCCTTGTCCGCCTTCGATCACTTTTTTATCTGGATCATCGCACAATTAAGAACCTAAAGGGATTCTTCTAAATGTCAACTCAGATCAAGTTACTTCTCTGGCAAAACTCTTTAGAGTTCCTGTCTTACTCGAAATAAGATCCCAAGTTTCAGCAAAGGCCATCAAGCTCCTGCACAACTGTGCTCCTTTAAACTCTGTGACCTCATCTGTTACTCTCATCCTTGCTCAATCCACCCCAGCAATACTAGCCTGCCTGTTCTTTCTAGAGCAAAGCTGTCCAATAGAACTTTCTCTGATGGCAGGCACGTTTTATATCTATGCTGTCCCATATGATGGTCATTGAAACAAATCATAAAAACAATGATAGAACATTGCTGACTCCTTTTCTTTTAGTTATGAAAGAGATGCTGGATTATTGTATTACTTAACCTTTAAAACTTGGATTCCACTGCATATTCAGGGACAGCTTGGTGTGAACACATGACTTTCAGAATTGTTTTCCTCCTTTGTGGTTTTTGAGAATGTTGGTGAAAGAACCACAGAGAATCCCTTATAAACTGAGTCAGTTATAAAGAGTTTAATAGTTCATTCAACACGTAGTTATTGAACTTCTGTTATGTGTAAAGGTTTGGGTGAGACACTCAATACTTTAACTTTTTGCAGTGTGCATATATTAATTTATTCATTCAACAAATATGTTTTCAGTGCTTAAGATGTGTCTGTGCTAGGTGCTGGGAATAGAAATGTCAAGTGCATCTTAATGATGAACTTCTAATTGGAAAAAAAACGAAGCCTAGAGGAACAGTGTGTGCAAAAAGGAGTTGTGAAAAAGCTGGCATGCTGAGGAGGCTGCGAATAATAGCTCAAGATGGAGTGGAAGTGAGATGAGGCTGCGGAGGTGGGGTGGGGGGCGGGAAGAGGGTGGAAGGCCTCGAGTGGTGTGTTAAGGGGTTTGGACTTGATCCTGAGGGTAATGGGGAGAAACTAAAAGCATTGTGCAGGGAGGACCTGTGTTTAGATTACGTTTTGGAACGCTTGCTCCAGCCGTTGCATAATGGGGAATTGGAAATTCTGAGAACAGACACGACTGGGAAATACTTTAGGCAAGAGATGATATGAATCAGCCTCTTGTAGACTACACTGGCAAGTTCAGTAAACAAGGTCAAAGACTCTGAGAATAGTCCTTAAGGATCAGGTGAGAGGATGGATGCTGCCCCCCAGTGCCTGTAAAGTGTGTGCAACATCTGTCTGCTGTTGTTGGTCAGCTCTGTGAAAGGGTCAAATATCCCTGTCATTACTCCATAGGGATGTTAAGATGAGAAGAGAAATTAGCCGCCTGACAATGTTAGCAGTACCTGGAGAAGGTCAGTTCTGGGCTGAAACTCTCTTCTCCATGAGATGCTATTATTTCCACTCAGAGTCCTGTGGACTAGGGAGTTAACTTTGGTCAGATGCTCTGAGATTTATTACTTTAAACAAATATGCTCTATGTAATTAGAGTAGCAATTGCTAAGAATTTACTATATCCTTGATAACCTCATCCCTAAGAAAGGGTTACATTTCTTAAAGTGAAATAATAGACCCCAAGACATTACAATCTGGAAACTTTGTAAGTGGGGATGGTAAGGCCAGCTGGGTAATGCTTCCTCTTGCATTACCCCCCTCTTGTGTTATAGAAATATTCACTAACAAGTGAAAATAGAATATTAAATATCAGGACATAAAAGGAGCTCTTGAAGAGCTGTCTCCTCTGTTTGCTTTAGAATCATGTTGTGGTTGAACTAGAGGCTGCCTCTCTGCCAAAATATGCCTGATTCTTAGTACAGAAGGTCATTGCAGTTGCTATGGTGTCTTCAAACAGACTCCCTGCCTGCATTCACTCCTCTCCCTTAGCCAACATACTTCCACATTCTTGAGGATTCATTCTAATTACTACATTTATGGAGAATACTTTTCTTCCCTTCGGGACCTTTATCTCTTTACTAGATGGACTATGCTGCAGTAATGGATAAAACCCCAAATTTTAGTGTCTCAACATACAGAGACTGATTTCTCATCCATGCGAACTCTGATGGCAGCTCTATCCATCACTGGCTCAGGTTTGGGGGCTCCCCCTATGGGGCAGCAGCCATCTGACTATAGGACCGTGAAGGTCTGCAGGGGAAGAGAGAGAACAAGGAACTTACGCTGCTTTTACATCACACACATCACTTCCACTCATTGTCCCTTGGCCAGGACTACTTATGTGGCTCCAGTCTAATTGTAAGGGGGCCTGGGAGATGGGAAGAGCATGAAATAGGTGATGGATGCTACTGTTTCTGCCACAGTTCCTGACGGTGAGCTCATGGCTCGGAAGATACTGACAAGGGATGAGGGCAGATTATTTTGTTTTTGGCAGGGGGGCTATCAACTTTGTAATTTGACTTTCTTATTTTCATCTTGGACAAACTTGTTAATGTAAAGATAATTGTTTAATATTTAAGAAGAATAAATAATGGAAGACATCTAATGAGAATATTAAGTAGGGGTCAAGACACTAAAATCCAGTGGAGAAGCCTACATAGAAGCTTTTATTAAATTGTTGGACTACATATAAACCTACTTTTTCTTATAGCTAAAATTCAGTGTTTTGGTTTTAAAACTTTGCTGAGGAGGTCGTGGTGGTATGCAAAGCCAGCCACGGTGTAGAATAAAGGACTGTTTTGGGAATAGGCACTTGGAAGCTGCCTTAGGGGAGCAGCTGGAGCCTGTCCTAGCTGCGTAGAAAGAGCGCTTAG